TCTCCTGCTCGGATATTATAAGAACTTTATCTATAACCCCTATATATATATATATATATATATATATATATATATATATATATATATATATATATATATATATATATATATATATATATATATATATATATATATATATATATATATATATATATATATATATATATATATATATATATATATATATGCTGATAACCACAAGGAAAGAAAGAAAACACGAAGTTCCTTCCTTGTGGTTATCAGCATATACCTGATGAAAAACTACAGTGATTTACTTGCATATATATATATATATATATATATATATATATATATATATATATATATATATATATATATATATATATATATATATATATATAGCTGTATATATAACATCTTGACTAAGATGGGTTTCTTTAATCCGTTTCGGAAAAATCATTTTCCATCATCAGAGCCTAGAAAACAAAAAGTTTTGAAAAAGTTTTAAAAATACAGGTGATATAAAATAAAAACATAACATTAGACGAAAATTTACCTACCATAAAATTTAAAGAAAGAAAAGATTTAGGAGTAATGATAAGTAGGAATCTTAAGCCAAGCAAACAATGTGTATTTGTTCGAAACAAGGCTAATAAGGTACTCGGGTTCATACAATGGAGTGTTAGTTACAAGACTAGAGAGGTTATCCTAAAGCTATATCTTGCGCTTGTGAGACCTCACTTGGATTATATAGTTCAATTCTGGTCACCGTATTACAGAATGGATATAGAATCCCTAGAAAGAATTCAAAGGCGAATAACAAGACTAATCCCGGGCATTAGGAACCTTGAGTACAGAGACAGGTTAAAGTATCTTAATTTGCACTCCCTAGAGAGACGTAGAGTGAGGGGCGACCTGATAGAGGTGTATAAATGGAAGTCAGGGCTAAACAAAGGCGTTATAACAAAGGTACTCAAACTATCCAACCAGGAGCGAACTCGTAACAATGGCTTTAAATTAGACAAATTTAGATTTAGGCGCGAGATAAGTACACATTTGTTTGGAAATATAGTAGTGGATGAATGGAACAAGTTACCAAACACCATCATTTAACTCGAATACGCTGGATAGCTTCAAACGTAGATTGGATGGATATATGAGTGGTAGGGGTTGGGTGTAAATGGGACTGCCCAGTATGGGCCACTAGGCCCGCTGCAGTTTCCTCCATCCTTGTGTTCATATGTTCTTATGTCATGTTTTTGACCAGACCTCATGCTTTTTAAGGTCACCCTGGGAACATAAGCCACTCTCAATCCTTGTAATTAATTTGCCTCTAAAGATGTCTTGAATAAAGACTAAAACTAAGGTGCTCCATTGTATCCCTTTTTCCTGTGTGATTTTATCAATATATATATATATATATATATATATATATATATATATATATATATATATATATATATATATATATATATATATATATATATATATATATATATATATATATATATATAGTGTGTGTGTGTGTGAGGACTAACCACAACAGAGATGGTCATATAGTCAAGAGCTGGGGGTGTGGAGAGCGTGTGGTTGGTGACCGTGATGCGGTGGATGCGTCGCCGCTCATGGTCCAGGGCGCGTCGCACCACAACCAGCCCAGTCGGTGTCACAGCAAAAGCTCCAGAAATCTGGTGGGAGCCCCCCGTGACCTCCACCTGTCTCTCTGTTGCTTCGTCTGCCAGGATGGAGTACTGCACCGTCTGCGGCCCCTCCATCCACAATGACGTTATTACAGTACCTGTAACACACACAGTTATTATCACATTGTGAACTATGAATTGCGCATCGCTTGTACTTTTCTATAAACTCCTACTAATAAATAAACCTTGCTTACGTGATTAAGGACCTTAATTGATGAAGCAAAGAAAAAGTTATAACACTAACTATATACCAAGCCACTGATAATGAGCACTTCCTCATCCTTCACAGAGTCGTATCTATATACAGCACAGTCGACTATTTTATGAGCTGAGAAAAATTACAAATTCTTCACGAAAGACTGAGGCCCGAATTCAGAACAGTGATTTCAAACCGCATATAGGTTTAAACCAAGGATCGAGCCAAGATTGAAGATTGTTGGTATTCAGAACACTGGCTTGAGCTAACACAAAGATTCAAACCGGGTTTGAGATCGGAATTGTCGATCCTCACGTTAATCTAACCTGGAAGCAAGTTTGGAGGTCTATCCTTCAAGCAAGTCAACATTAATTTTGACAGAGAGCGCGGTTTTCGGTGATATCATCAAATTGGAAATTTTGTAGAGAGAAGACTGATAGTAGATAGTCAGAATCCTACAATTTTTTATGATGACACGTAATTTAAACAATGATATAGGTTCAACAAGGGAGATTTCCTTGATATGCCATGTTATGGAGCATCTACTTGGCAGACCTGTTGGCTATGGTTCACCTTTACCTCCCATTCATCAGCTGATGATTGGGAGATTCTTCACAACGAATATTTTCCAGGTAAGAAATATTCTGGTTACTGAATGAGTTATAGTAATGTGTTACAACACTTTCGTGTTCAGGATCCATGAAGATCCAGCAGGTAAATGTAAAGAACGCTGACGCTTCTTTATTATGAGTGTTTGTCTTTAGGAAAACTATTTTGATGTATTTTCAATATAATTGAATCAATGCTGAGTTGCATTTTGATTTTAATGTATTGATAAAAGAAAGTATTCTCTTAACATTATTAATCAGGGGAAATGTGGAGTTTAAAGAACAGAAAGAAACCAAAGAACCTGGCCAGGTCACTACGCCCTGCATTGATTCATCTTGCTTTGGTTATGAATATTGACACCTGTCCCGGATTATATCTACAATTTGTATGTAATTGTTCTTCGCCTATGAATTTCTTTGTTATCACATAACAACACAGCCACGTTGTAACACAGTACCATAAATCATTATAATTTAATCATAATTTGATTGTAATTATAATAATAAAAGTAACTTTTGACGTGCAAGGAGAGATTTCTCCTCCTCCGTAAAAACTCGTCGAGTGATAGTTGTCGCCATAATCTTATAAACATTACTCTCGATGGTGATTGGCTGTCGTAATGGTGCAGATGAAACGTGATTGGCTGGAATTTCAGTGTTCGAGTCCTTGCTCGTAACTGAAGAAAAATGCAACAGATTACCCGACCTGGGGCTCAAGCCGATGTTTTAAATATGGGTAATCCACTGCAGGAAATCTCGGATTGAGGAATCCCGATTCGCATGCCTGAGCCGAGCTCAAATCCCAGGCTCAAACTACCGTTCTGAATTCTGACCTGTGAGCTTACGTGTACTATTATGTGAACAATATCTCCTAAGAAATTAAAAGGTGTCTTCCGCACTCTGACACTTCAGTGATTTTGTTAAATATACACACGGATGTAAACAACGTGTCAGAGATACTGGCTTCTGCACACATGTTGAAGTGCAAGGCTGTTCAGTTTACACGTCTACACAAGCTTGCATGTCCTCTGTCATGAATCATATATAATTACCTGAAGTTTCCTGGATATAAATTCAAGATTATAGCAGCTATATTTTACTCACCAACTGGGGCGTCTTCAGTGAGAAAGAACTGGGCATACTGTCTGGCACAGTATGGAGATCGATCATTTGTGGACAGGAGGAAGATGGTGACGGGCACGTCACTGTGGTGGCGTGGAGACCCACGATCCTCACCGCGGATGAAGAACTGGTACACCTCGTTCTCTGCAACACCACCACAACACTACTGTATTCTAATCTTCACCAAGACTACGTGTATTATTTACAGCATAAATACAGACTTAAATAGAAGTATATATTAACAACGAAACATTTTAATAGTATATACTGTAGTTTTAGCGAGACCTCTAATGCAAAGAAAACAAAATGTTATTCTTCATCAACAGGTCATGCACACACACACACACACACACACAAGAAGCCTAACTGCGCTAAAATAATATCTTCTCTTTGTTATGCACAAATACTTGTTTCTACTTACAGAGATAAGAATATGAACCAACACGAACAGAAAGTGAAACTTACCTCGACCTTGGGCACTGAGGGCGAGGGTGACCTGACCAGAGGATGGGTCAACCTTGAAAAGTGTGAGGGCCTCGGAGCTGTTGGCCTCGTACATGTGGTACTGCACCTCGCTGTTCAAGCCCTCGTCTGCGTCGCTCGCCTCAACCTGGGACGAGAAGGAATGTGTGAAAAGTTATGTTGTTGTGACTGTGGTGGTGAAGTGTGGCTATGGTGTGGTAGTTGTTGTTGTGGTGGTGGTGAAGTGCGGTAGTTGTTGTTGTGGTGGTGGTGGTGAAGTATGGTAGTTGTTGTTGTGGTGGTGGTGAAGTGCGGTAGTTGTTGCTGTGGTTGTGGTGGTGGTGAAGTGTGGTAGTTGTTGTGGTGGTGGTGGTGGTGAAGTGTGGTAGTTGTTGTTGTGGTGGTGGTGAAGTGTGGTAGTTATTGTTGTGGGGTGTGGTGGTGAAGTGTGGTAGTTGTTGTTGTGGCGGTGGTGAAGTGTGGTAGTTGTTGTTGTGGTGGTGGTGAAGTGTGGTAGTTATTGTTGTGGTGGTGGTGTAGTGTGGTAGTTGTTGTTGTGGTGGTGGTGAAGTGTGGTAGTTGTTGTTGTGGTGGTGGTGAAGTGTGGTAGTTATTGTTGTGGAGGTGGTGAAGTGTGGTAGTTATTGTTGTGGTGGTGGTGTGGTGGTGAAGTGTGGTAGTTGTTATTGTGGTGGTGGTGAAGTGTGGTAGTTATTGTTGTGGTGGTGGTGAAGTGTGGTAGTTGTTGTTGTGGTGGTGGTGAAGTGTGGTAGTTATTGTTGTGGTGGTGGTGGTGAAGTGAGATAGTTGTTGTTGTGGTGGTGGTGAAGTGTGGTGGTAGTTATTGTTGTGGTGGTGGTGAAGTGTGGTGGTAGTTGCTGTTGTGGCAGTGTGGTGGTACACAAGTTGTTGTTGTTGGCAGTGAAGTGAGCAAAGAATGGTGAGTGGAAAGGTGTTATTTTGATAGTGTTGTGACTGACAAGAAAGTGTGATAACAGTGTGATGATAAAGTGTGATGAGTGATGAAGTGTTGTTGTGGTAATATGGTGAGTATCAAGGCACTGTTGTGGTGGTAGAGAGCGGTGCGTGATAAAATATTCTAAGGGTAGGGAGGGGCAATGTGGTCATTACAGAGTGTTGTATGGTGTAGTAATGAAGTGTTTTGGTTGGTAGTCTGTGGTGAAGAGAGTATGGTGATAAGAGAGTATGGCGATGATGAAGGTGTGATGGTGTGCTAGTAAGACAGTATGGTGGTGGTGGTGGTGGTGTGAGGTACAGTATGGTGGTGGTGGTGGTGGTGTGAGGTACAGTATGGTGGTGGTGGTGGTGGTGTGAGGTACAGTATCTTGGTGAGAGCGGTAATAAGAATTTCTGTAGGTGATAGTGTGTGGTGTTGAGCGTGTTGAAGATGTACAGTAGTGGTGATAGGGTGCAGTGACAGTGATAGTGATAGAGCGTAGTGATGATCAGGTGTCAGGGTTTTAGTGTGGTGAAAAGAGAATTATTCGTAACAGGTTGTGGTGGTGATAGTGTGATGTATGAAGGAGTGTGGTGGTGATTGTATGGGGTATGAGGGAGTGTGATGGTGATTGTATGAGGTATGAGGGAGTGTGATGGTGATTGTATGAGGTATGAGGGAGTGTAATGGTGATAGTATGAGGCATGAGGAGTGTGATGGTGATTGTAAGGGGTATGAGGGAGTGTGATGGTGATAGTATGATATATGAGGGAGTGTGATGGTGATATTATAGGTATGAAAGTGTGATGGTGATATTAGTAGTGTGATGGCGTGGAGGGTAAGTGTGATGGTGATTGTATGAGGCATGAGAGTGTGATGGTGATTGTATGAGGGAGGGAGTGTGATGGTGATTGTATGAGGTATGAGGGAGTGTAATGGTGATAGTATGAGGCATGAGGAGTGTGATGGTGATTGTAAGGGGTATGAGGGAGTGTGATGGTGATAGTATGATATATGAGGGAGTGTGATGGTGATTGTAAGGGGTATGAGGGAGTGTGATGGTGATAGTATAATATATGAGGGAGTGTGATGGTGATTGTAAGGGGTATGAGGGAGTGTGATGGTGATAGTATGATATATGAGGGGGTGTGATGGTGATTGAATGTTGTATTGAGAGCAGGTCATAATAATAGGGCATGTGAGGATGAAAGTGTGTGTGTGTGTGAGACTGTACTGTGAGCACTGTTGATACATCAGTCTGCATCAACGTAGTAATTATGGCTTCCGTAAGACACAATAAAACTGTTCTCTTTATCTAAACACAAAATCTCAAAAAAAAATTTATTACGTTTACTAAGAATACATTAGACTGTTTATTTAATGTTTATTACTTTTTACTCTCTAAACATTTTAAAATTCACAATGAGTTTAAAATAATGTTGAGTGGTCTCTCTTCCAAGGGGTGAGTATGTAAAAGATATGTAATGGAACAACTTGACCTACCTCCAGTATGGTGATGGAACAACTTGGCCTACCTCCAGTATGGTGATGAAACAACTTGGCCTACCTCCAGTATGGTGATGGAATAACTTGGCCTACCTCCAGTATGGTGATGGAACAACTTGACCTACCTCCAGTGTGGTGATGGAACAACTTGACCTATCTCCAGTATGGTGATGGAACAACTTGACCTACCTCCAGTATGGTGATGGAACAACTTGGCCTACCTCCAGTATGGTGATGGAACAACTTGGCCTACCTCCAGTATGGTGATGGAACAACTTGACCTACCTCCAGTATGGTGGTGGAACAACTTGGCCTACCTCCAGTATGGTGATGGAACAACTTGACCTACCTCCAGTATGGTGATGGAACAACTTGACCTACCTTCAGTATGGTGGTGGAACAACTTGGCCTGCCTCCAGTATGGTGGTGGAACAACTTGACCTACCTCCAGTATGGTGATGGAACAACTTGACCTACCTTCAGTATGGTGATGGAACAACTTGACCTACCTCCAGTATGGTGGTGGAACAACTTGGCCTGCCTCCAGTATGGTGATGGAACAACTTGACCTACCTCCAGTATGGTGGGCAGAACAACTTGCCTGCCTCCAGTATGGTGGTGAACAACTTGACCTACTCTCCAGTATGGTGATGGAACAATGACTGGCCTCCAGTATGGTGGCAGAACAACTTGGCCTGCCTCCAGTATGGTGGTGAACAACTTGACCTACCTCCAGTAGTGATGGAACAACTCTGACCCACTTCAGTATGGTGACAGCCAATTTTGACCTACCTCCAGCATGGTGGTGGAACAACTTGCCTGCTCCAGCATGGTGGTGATGGAACAACTTGACTCACTCCCTCCAGTATGGCATGGAAAGGCACCAACTTGGCCTGCCTCCAGTGGCGGTGATGGAACAACTTGACCTACCTCCAGTATGGTGGTGTAAAAACTTGACCTTCATTCAGTATGGTGATGTAACAACTTGGCCTACCTGCAGTATGGTGATGGAACAACTTGACCTACCTCCAGTATGGTGGTGGAACAACTTGACCTACCTCCAGTATGGTGGTGGAACAACTTGACCGACCTCCAGTATGGTGATGGAACAACTTGACCTACCTCCAGTATGGTGGCGGAACAACTTGGCCTACCTCCAGTATGGTGATGGAACAACTTGACCTACCTCCAGTATGGTGGCAGAACAACTTGGCCTACCTCCAGTATGGTAATGGAACAACTTGACCTACCTCCAGTATGGTGGCAGAACAACTTGACCTACCTCCAGTATGGTGATGGAACAACTTGGCCTACCTTCAGTATGGTGGTGAAACAACTTGACCTACCTTCAGTATGGTGATGGAACAACTTGACCTACCTTCAGTATGGTAGTGCCGGGGGCCACGTCGGTGTTGATGTTGGCCTGGTACTCTGGCAGCGTGAACTGGGGAGCGTTGTCGTTCTTATCACGGACGGACACACGCACCACCACGAAGTTGGCTCGCCCACCCTCGTCCGTCACCGACACCCTTAAGTTATGCAAGCTGGTGGCCTCGCGGTCCAGTGGGCTCTCCGTGTATATGTTACCTGACAACAGGGAGGCAGGTACAGTTGGCTCACAGGGGTGCACATTGGATACCATGCATTGTAGTTATATAGATTTTATATCAGTTTCCTCAACGGCTTCACCCAGTACACAGAGCAGCGGGGATCATGAACAACCTCCCTTCTACACCACAGTGTTGCCATGTCTCCTCACAGTCTTCCCTCGTAGGTTTCTTGTGGCTCTGTGTATTTTACTTTTGCTTTTCGTTCTGTAATTTTCTTCTCTTAAAAACATTTTTTTAAAGAAATATTTCCTCATATTTCATACATTCATTCTTATACCAATCCCCACAACTATAGATTCCTTACTGTTGACTATATTTTCTCTTTAGTAAAAATTCAATCTATATAAACAAGAGAGACATTAATGCCATCTGTTGGTAATTAAAACGACCACTACAACAGAAGGTAAATTAAAGTCCTTTCAGTACACCTCGCTAGACTATTGGTTCTCATTCTTTCCACAAATTACGATCATTACAGAGTCAGTCAAATACATGCATCCTAAATGTCCTTCTCTGACATTTAAGGATCCAATTCACCCTTCTAGTTGAGTAATGTGTGTGTGTGTGTGTGTGTGTGTGTGTGTGTGTGTGTGTGTGTGTGTGTGTGTGTGTGTGTGTGTGTGTTTTGCCTCTTGTTCCGTCTCTCCAGCACACTACCCATGCGGATCACTTTTTTTTCTGAAACTTGATTAAAGAATGTTTGTTTTTTAGGAGTGAGGTAACAGCATAGTCGAGTGAGGTGACAGCATAGTCGAGTGAGATGACAGCATAGTTGAGTGAGGTGACAGCATAGTCGAGTGAGATGACAGCATACTCAGTATACTTGAATGAGGTGACAGCATAGTCGAATGAGGTGAGAGCATAGTCGAGTGCGGTGACAGCATAGTCGAGTGAGGTAAGAATAGAGAAGGGTAAGTGAAAGCAGAGTTAAGTAAAGGAAAGGAAGAGAAGGTTTGAGGTGAATGCAGAGTGAGAAGAGTGAGATGAGATGAGAGTGAGCCAGAGTTAACTAGGGTGAGGTAAGGGTAGAGTAGGGTGAGGTAAGCGGAGAGTAGGGTGGGAGGTAAGGGCAGAGTTAGGGTGAGGTAAGGCAGAGTAGGGTGAGGTAAGGGCAGAGAGGTGAGGTAAGGGCAGAGTAGGGTGAGGTAAGGGCAGAGCAGGGTGAGGTAAGGGTAGAGTAAGGTGAGGTAAGGGCAGAGAAGAGGTAAGGGCAGAGAAAGAGGGCAGAGTAGGTGAGGTAAGGCAGAGTAGGGAGGAGGTGAGGCAGAGTAGGTGAGGTAAGGGGAGTAGGGGAGGAGGGCAAGAGTTAGGGTGAGGGCAGAGCAGGAGGGCAGAGCAGGAGGTAAGGGCAGAGGCAAGGGCAGAGTAGGGTGAGGTAAGGGCAGAGCTAGGTGAGGTAAGGGCAGAGTAGGGTGGAGGTAAGGCAGAGTACAGGAGGTAGGGTAGAGCTAGGGTGATGTGGGCAGAGCAGGGTGAGGTAAGGGGTAGAGAGGGGTGGAGGTAAGGGCAGAGTAAGGTGAGGTGGGCAGAGTAAGCAAGGTAAGGCAGAGTAAGGTGAGGTATGGGTAGAGAGGTGATAAGGGTAGGAGAGGGTAAGGCAGAGAAGGAGGTGGCAGAGTAAGGTGAGGTAAGGGCAGAGTAGGGTGAGTGTAGGCAGAGCAGGGGAGGCAAGGGCAGGCAAGGTGAGGGGCGGGCAGAGTAGGTGGAGGGCGTAGAGTGGCAGGGTGGGGAAGGGCAGAGGTGAGGTAAGGGGTAGAGAGGGGAGGTATGCAGAGTAGGGTGAGTAAGGGTAGAGTAGGGTGGAGGTAAGGGCAGAGTAGGGTGAGGCAGAGTAGGTGAGGTAAGGCAGAGAGGGGTGAGGTAAGGGTAAAGGGGTAAGGGCAGAGTAGGGTGGAGGTATGGCAGAGTAGGGTGGAGGTAAAGGCAGGAGAGGGGTGGAGGTAAGGGGTAGAGAGGTGAGGTAAGGCAGAGTAGGGGTGAGGTAAGGGCAGAGTAGGGTGGAGGTAAGGGTAGAGCAGGAGGTGGCAAGGCAGAGTAGGGTGGAGGTAAGGGCAGAGAAGGGAGGTAGGCAGAGAAAGGAGGTAAGGGCAGAGATAAGAGGTATAAGAGGTATGCAGAGCATAGTGATAGGGCAGGGTAGAGAGGGAGGGTCAAGAGCAGGGCGGTGAGTGATGCAAGAAGGTGAGAGTGAATAGGGTGAGTAAGGGCAGAGAGGGTGGGGTATGGGCAGAGTACAAGAGGTAAGGGTAGAGCAAGGGGGAGGTAAGGGCAGAAGGTGAGGTAAGGGCAGAGAGGGTGAGGTAAGAGAGGGGTGAGGTAAGGCAGAGAAGAGGGTAAGGGGTAGAGCTAGGGGAGGTAAGGGGTAGAGCAGGAGGTAAGGGGCAGAGAGGGTGAGGCAAGGGGTGAGAGTAAGGTGAGGTATGGCAGAGTAAGGGAGATATGGTATAAGGAGGTATAAGGCAGAGAGGTGAGGTAGGCAGAGGGTGAGGTAAGGGAGTAAGGTGAGGTACAGAGAGGGTGAGGTAGGGGCAGAGTTAGTGAGGTAAGGGTAGAGTAAGGGGAGGCTAGAGTAGGGTGAGGTAAGGGCAGAGAGGGTGAGGTATGGGCAGAGAGGGTGGGGTAAGGAGAAAAAGAGTGTAGGGGAGGTATGGGTACAGGTGATAAGGGCAGAGCAGAGGCGGGTGGAGTAGGGTGAGGTAAGGGCAGAGCAGGGGGTGGGGAGGTAGCAGAGAGTAGGGGTGAGGTATGGCAGAGAGGGGTGAGTGTAAGGGCAGAGAGGGGTGAGGTAAGGGGCAGAGTAGGGTGAGGTAAAGGCAGAGGAGGTATGGGCAGAGTAGGGGTGAGGTAAGGGTGAGAGTAGGGAGGAGGTAAGGGCAGAGTAGGGTGGAGGTAAGGCAGAGAAGGAGAGGTAAGGGCAGAGAGGGTGAGGTAAGGGTAGAGAGGGTGAGGTAAGGGGAAGAGTTTGGGGGAGGTAAGGCAGAGAGGTGGAGGTAAGGCAGAGAGGTGGGAGGTAAGGGGTAGAGTAGGGAGGTAAGGGCAGAGAGGGGGGAGGTGAAGGGGTAGAGCAGGGTGAGGTAAGGCAGAGCAGGGTGAGGTAAGGCAGAGTAGGTGAGGTAAGGGTAGAGTAGGGTGAGGTAAGGCAGAGTAGGGTGAGGTAAGGGCAGAGCAGGGGAGGTAAGGGTAGAGAGGGGGGAGGTAAGGGAGTAGGGGTGAGGTAAGGGCAGAGTAGGGTGGAGGTAAGGGTAGAGTAGGGGTGAGGTATGTAGAGTAGGGTGAGGTAAGGGTAGAGTTAGGTGAGGTAAGGGTAGAGTAGGTGAGTAAGGTAGAGTAGGGTGAGGTAAGGGTAGAGTAGGTGAGGTAAGGGTAGAGTAAGGTGAGGTAAGGGTAGAGTAGGGGTGAGGTAAGGGTAGAGTAGGGTGAGGTAAGGGTAGAGTAAGGTGAGGTAAGGGTAGAGTAAGGTGAGGTAAGGGTAGAGTATGGTAATTCCAGATGTTAGAAGGGTCAGCTGAGGCCAAGGGGAAGTGAGACTAGATTAATAATAAAGGGAGTAAACTAGAGTGAGGTAAAGAACACATCTAAGGCTCAAGTCTACAGATGGAATGTTTCCTCACCCTCTTTATCTATCTTGAAAGTGCCCTCCGTCGTCTGATGGAGAATGTGATACTGAAGGGCCCCAAAGCCTCCCGCGTCGGGGTCTTGGGCCTGAAGGGTGAGGACCAGCTGGCCCGGGGCTGAGTTCTCGTCCACGCGCCCCTCATACAGAGTTCGCAGGAACCTGCAGATGACCACGCCAATACAGCTTATTACACAGTTTGAAACATATAGAAAGCTCATACATGTTATGATAAGTGTTACGACCCAACTGTTTTATCAGTTCATATAGTCAATGTAAGCCAGTGACTGAAGAGAAAACAGCGTGGTTAGTAACCTTGGTGTGTGATGATTGGAGGGCACGACGGCCAGGTGAAGCCCAGTGAAGGCGACGTGCACACCGTCGCTCACAGACATGTTGAGGTTCAAGGAGGTAACATTCTCCAGCTTGTGCGGAGCCGTCACCGTCAGCAGCCCTGCACAACAACACAAGACAGTCTCATATTAACATGGTTGCCGTGAGAAACAGCTTCAAGCTGTCTACACGTATCAAATTTCTGGATACAGGTAAAGGAGAGACAAAGTCATATCGCTTTCTTTCTTCTTTAAATAATTTCTAACGAAAATTTTTATCAGTGATATATGTGTTTGTTTTCTTCATAACATTAAACATCTACCAACCATAGCTAGGAGTTTTACCTGTGATTGAGTCCATCTTGAAGATTCCTTCTCTATCACCTGAGTGTATGGCGTAGTGGAGAGGCGTGACCTGGCCAGTGTCTGGGTCATGGGCGGACATGGCGGACACAACATGACCTGGCTGTGCTTCAGCGGACACTCGGCAGGAGTAGCTGTCCTGACGCCAGGCGGGAGGGTTGTCGTTAAAGTCCACCACTGTAGCAGGAGGCACTTTATCATTACTCGTGCTCTTAAACACAAGTATATCATTATTTTCCTAAGTAGCGATAAGATACTGCAAGCAGTTATGATCCAACCCCAGTGATATTTGTGTGGTAACTTAAATGAATTATCCAGATGCGTTCTCCCACCATCTGCTAGGTGAGGTAAGTTTCGAACATGATACTCGAGACCTTGGAGGTATTAGGAGACAGTTGACAGTTATATGTTAATTTAACTAAAATATGTCCACTTACCGTTAACAATGACTGTAGCGGTAGATGAGAGCTGTGGTAGGCCAGCATCCGTGGCCACCACAGTAAGGTGGTGCTGTGGCTGCGTCTCCGCATCCAGTTGTCCCGTTAGCGTCACCAGGCCGTCCTCGCCTCGCACGTCGAACACCTCACACCCGGATCTACAGGAGTACATCACCACACCGCCCGTGCCCGTGTCCACGTCAGTCGCTGACACCTGCACACATTGATGATGAACCACAGGATATTATTGGGAGGTGGATTATGCCACGGTGATTTACGGTCCTAGTGGTTATTGACGGATGTTTATAGACAGTGAAACTAACGAGACAAGTGATTTCTTAGTTATATGTTTACAGAAGGGAAATTATGCTCTCCGCGGATATTGAGTTTTGATCCTACTTTTAGGCAGCAAATTATAAGTGATTCATAGTTTAAGTAGGTTGTAAAGAATATTATGATGTTTAATGACATGTAGTTTAGAGGCTGGTAATTCATGACACAGAAGGCGTACATAAGGGTAAATTAATTATCTGGACTGAATGACAATTGAAGCTGCTCTGCGGAGGTTTGGTGTAAGAGGGAATATTCTGAGTTTGATAAATGCACTGGTCATGTGTTGAGAGGGAAGTAGAAGGAGGGAGGAACTGTGAGTGATATTATGGTGGGGAGAATGAACGAACAAACCAGGAGGAACACACCGAGAAATGTAATATTGGTTGGGTGTCTTCAAGAAGGGACAGACATAGGACCTACTTGTTATCTCTCGTATAAGAACATAAGGAAATAAGGAGTCTGCAACAGGTCGGTTGGCCTGTGCATGGCAGTTCCTGTCAAGAGTTACTACCACTCTCTACCATCCATGAATCTATCTAGCCTCCTTTTAAAACTTTCCAGCGTTCCAGCGTTTACTACAAAGTTGCTAAGCTTGTTCCACACGCCCACCACCTTATTTGTGAACTAGTTCCTTCTCTCCTATCTCCCTCCTAAACCTAAACTTATCCAACTTAAACCCGTTGCTACGAGTCCTATCCTGCTCGGATATTATAAGAACTTTATCTATATCTCCTTTATGTATTCCTTTCACCCACTTAAATACTTCTATCATATCTCCCCGCACTCTTCGTCTTTCTAGGGAATGCAAGTTTAGTTTCTTTAACCTATCTTGATATGGAAGGTTTCTAAGTCCCGGAATCATTTTCGTCATTCTTCGCTGCACCGACTCCAGTGAATTGGTATCCATTCTACAGCATGATAAGGGCACCAGAACTGAACTGCATAATCGAGGTGCGGCCTGACTAGCGCAAGATATAGTTGCAATAAGACCTCTGCACTCGTATTACTAACACTTCTAGATATAAAACCTAATACTCTGTTTGCCTTATTTCGAACATTAACGCACTGTTTTCTAGGCCGTAGGTCCGGGCTTACAAGTACCCCTAAGTCTCTTTCACAAGTCGACTTCTCTAGGTTGATGTTGTTAAGGCTGTATACATTGACAGTATTTGTTCTTCCAATATTAAGTACGCTGTACTTGCTGGTGTTGAATTTCATTTGCCATTTTCCTGACCACTCCTGCAGTTTATTTAAATCCTCCTGTAGTGCATTTGCATCCTGCCCTGAATTAATCTGCCGTCCTATTTTGGTGTCATCCGCAAACTTGCTTCTGTCACTGCTGATCCCAGTATCTAGATCGTTTATGTAGATTATGAACAAGAGTGGGCCCAGTACTGACCCCTGGGGAACCCCACTGGTTACACAGCCCCACTCAGTTTTAACACCATCTACGCTGACCCTCTGTGTTCTATCGGTGAACATGATTTTATTAAATTTAAAACTTTCCCCTCGATACCATGAGCCTTAACTTTTCTCAGAAGCCCCTGATGAGGAACTCTGTCAAACGCTTTGCTAAAGTCTAAGTAAATAACATCGTAATTTTCGTCATTATCTACTACCTCGAAGACTTTCCTAAAAAAACGTCAGCAGATTTGTTTGACAAGATTTTCCCTTTGTAAACCCATGTTGAGAGTCGTAGATTAATTTGTTTTAGTCGTAGAATAATTATGTGTCTCTATATGGGTAACTTAACCTAAATGGTCCTTTACTGGTGATTTTTATCTTTGTTTCCTAATTGGTGCCTCGTGAATTAAATGGTGAATTAATTTAGGTGGTTATTAAAGGTGACATTTGGATTCTCGTGGTTTTTAAGGGTTAAATTTGGATTCTCGTGGTTATTAAAGGTTAAATTTGGATTCTCGTGGTTATTAAAGGTTAAATTAGGATTCTCGTGGTTATTAAAGGTTAAATTTGGATTTTCGTGGTTATTAACGGTTAAATTAGGATTCTCGTGGTTATGAAGGGTTAAATTTGGATTCTCGTGGTTATTAAAGGTTAAATTTGGATTCTCGTGGTTATTATAATGTCATATCTGATCTGTTTATTGACAAGTGAATTAATATTGTAATCACACTGTTTGTTCTTAGTCTCAATATATAATGAATTAATGATGGTGGTAGAAGAGGTATGATATATTGTTGTAATTTGTCGTAATTCATTCTAAAGTACCGTAAGTGGTTTATGATGGTGGTGGTGGTTTATGATAGTCGTGGTTTATGATGGTGGTGGTTTTGGATGATGGTGGTGGTTTATGATGGTGGTGGTGGTTTATGATAGTCGTGGTTTATGATGGTGGTGGTTTTGGATGGTGGTGGTGGTTTATGATAGTCGTGGTTCATGATGGTGGTGGTTTTGGATGATGGTGGTGGTTTATGATGGTGGTGGTGGTGGTTTATGATAGTCGTGGTTTATGATGGTGATGGTTTATGATGGTGGTTGTTTATGATAGTGGTGGTTTATGATAGTGGTAGTTTATAATGCAGGTGGTTTATGATAGTCGTAGTTTATGATAGTGGTGGTTTATGATAGTAGGGGTTTATGATAGTGGTGGTTTATGACAGTGGAAGTTTATAATGAAGGTGGTTTATGATAGTAGTGGTTTATGATAGTGGTGGTTTATGATAGTGGTGGTTTAATGTTTTAAGTTATTCATGACACAGATGCAGTTTGAAGTTCTTTTGTGACGGATCGTTTGAGATGGACGGTTTATGAGACATCTGATACATGACTCGTTGGGTTTATAAAATTTCAGTTTCGCTAAGACATAACTAACGTAATGTTCGTTTGTTAAAACATATGTGGCTGATGGCAAGGTAATAGTTACGTTTAAAAAGACATGTGATTAAAACTATAGAAATATTTGACATTGATAATTCTTGAAACATAATTTACGGTAAAAGTGAAAAAGCTAACTTCTCCCATCTGACATTAAAGATGGATGACCAGTACAGGAGTTATTACACAAGTTAGTAAGGTGACTGTTGTTGGCCACTGGTTATAATAGATACATTCGTAGTTAATGATACAAGTAGTGAAGATGTTGGTTAAGGTTTTTTGTAGTCTCTGACGTTAACTATTTATGCGAGTGTAAATCATTATACAAGTGGTTGTTGGTTATGAGGTAGTTATGTAGATGTTATTAGTGATGGCATACGATTGATGACACTTGTTTATGTCAAGAGAGAGAGATGTATGACACACAAGGGTAAGGTAAAGAAGTTCACCTCAAATATAACTTGCTTGAGGGTAGTTTAACTATACTCTAAATGCATTGTCATTATTATCAAGCATTAGCAGTTAATTGATTTACTTTGTTATGCAATTGTCACCTTTAAGACAAAAGATATCTCATAATCAACCTTATATTATATAAACTTACTTTATCACAATAAACATTATAATATACAATATAGATTTACCACAAAATGCTTTAGGATGGTCAGGTATTACAGAATTTCACGCCCTTATAAACGAATTGTGACTCATATGATGCCGAACTGTTTGTCCAGAATTTAACTCAGTGATTATGATGACTGTTACTCTGACCACTGGATGGTGAAACAGATGATGTGTAAGTCACCTGGACGATGGCTTGGCCAGGCGGGGCGGCCTCCGATACACTGCCCTTGAACACGTGGCTCGTGAACTCTGGGGGGTTGTCGTTGACATCTGTGACGGTGACGGTGATATGCGCGTCTGTGTGGCCGCCCGTCACGGGATCCCTCGCCCGCACCGTCAGGTTGTGGGCATGAGCGGCCTCGTAGTCCAGTGAGGCTGTGGTCTGGATCACACCTACAGTCAGAAAGTTGAGGCTTCAATAAAAAGAAACGTCGCGCGTCTCTGAGTAAGAATTGTTATCAAAAGATCCTTTAGTTATACTAAGTTTTAGTCATGAAATAATATAATTTTCAATTGAGATAAAAACTGTTTCTACTAAGAGAGTAATAAGAGTGTGTAGCAATCGTATGAACAGGAAAAACAACAGAAGGTTTTATTTAAGAATTACTTCAAAACTTATCATGATATATATTATGCTAGTAAGTTAAACAACATTGTAAATACTGAGCCTGGCCTTAGACTTACACTTACATTCCTCACAAACATTTAGTTTTTAACCTTGAAAATATATAAAACATAAAATATCAGACTCCATAACATACCTCTAACGACCACTAATTATTACAGATTAAAAGGGAATAAAGTACATACCGGGAAAACAAAGCAACATTCTGGAAAATCATATATCCTGCAGAGTCACACCCGAGGCAACTCCTGGCCAGTTGACATGAAACACAATGTTATCTTTCCACCATGTTTAAGGACCCAACGTTCGCAAGGACCACCAAATATTCCCTCTGATAACACGGATATCTTATGCTAACGTGCACATAAAGCTCATTCTAAAAAGCTACTTCTGCAACGCCAAAGTCTTTTGAAAGGTTGACAAAGGACTAAAAATATTTAAGAAGCAAAAAATTAATAATAAAGTAAACAGTTTACTTTTTACATTTAAAGCGGGGAAAATTGTCCTGGGTTGTGCGTGGTACACCGTGACTGAGGAGGAGTGAGTTACAAATATGTACTGTACAAAATGTGATCTGATGTTACCACATATTCACCTGAAAAGTGTAATTTGGAATAGCGTCATATAACTTTCTGTCAAAAGTTTGTGGTATAGAAAAATCGTTATAAAACCAATATAAAATAATATATAACTATATATTTATCAGTCACTCGGCGCCACATGACCACACACACACCTTGTTGAAGGAATATTTGCTGCACTATAAATTTATACTTGTCATTCAGGAAGAAATGGGAGAGAACAGCCGAATGCCCAAATTAAACTGAAGAATCAAGCGCCATAGTGATCTATTTACATGAGTTAGAGAGGTTGTAACTACTAAACATACTTACAAGAAGATTCCACAGCCTTGTCACCTGAGAAAGCAGACATAAGCCGTGGTAAAGCAGCGTGCTCAACACGTGAGGACAGAGCTTCAAGAGGGATATTAACTCATTACATAATTTAAGACTTATATCCCCTAATAGAGGGATAGGGAGGCATTGTTAAGGATCATAGTTAGTAAGGTGCAGTAGATCATGAGAATAACCTTACAGTCAGGAGCAATATCTTCACGGCAATAACTAGTTACTTTTACACCAACAAAGTTTAAATGAAAGGAAATTCTTTAATAACTTGACAAAAAGTGAAATTTTTTATTTTAGTTTTTTAATGTAAATCTAGTATTAAACTGGTCACATTATATGTTTCTTTATATCACGGATTAATGTGTGTGTGTGTGTGTGTGTGTGTGTGTGTGTGTGTGTGTGTGTGTGTGTGTGTGTGTGCGTGTGTGTGTGTTTTCAAGTGCCAGGACAGGAAACTCTTCGATTAATCTACATTAATTCCCATGTATTAAAAAACATCAACACCTAACAGGAGTGTTACGGTGAGTATTGAAGTGAACAACTGATGGTCTGAAGGACGCTGACCACATGTGACATTACATTAATTACACTCCCCAAACGTTGCCATATAATACATTCTCCACGAGTATCAAAGAGCAAATGATACAATTTTATTTCGGGAACAACTGCTTTACTCATGAGGGAGATATTAAAGGAGTGAGGACAGTAAGGTGGTGTGCGTTGAGGAGCGGCCCATGAAGTTTTGGTGCAGGAAAGACGAAAAGATTAGGTGTTGGAAGTGTAAAACTGGTGAGCCTCCAGCAGTGAATATAACACAGGGGGTGAGACTCCAGCAGTGAATATAACACAGGGGGTGAGACTCCACCAGTGAATATAACACAAGGGGTGAGCCTCCACCAGTGAATGTAACACAGGGGGTGAGCCTCCACCAGTGAATATAACACAGGGGGTGAGCCTCCACCAGTGAATATAACACAGGGGTTGAGCCTCCACCAGTGAACATAACACAGGGGTGAGACTCACCAGTGAATATAACACAGGGGTGAGACTCCACTCAGTGAATATAACACAGGGGTGAGACTCACCAGTGAATATAACACAGGGGTGAGACTCACCAGTGAATATAACACAGGGGAGACTCCACCAGAATATATAACACAGGGGTGAGACTCTGACCAGTGAATATAACACAGGGGTGAGACTCCACCAGTGAATATAACATTAAGGTGAACTCACCAGTGAATATAACACAGGGGTGAGACTCCACCAGTAGAATATAAATACTAAGGCAAACTCCACCAGTGAATATAACACAGGGGGTGAGCCTCCACCAGTGAATATAACACAAGGGGTGAGACTCCACCAGTGAATATAACACAGGGGGTCACCTTTTTATATAAAAATAACTATTTGTATACATAAAATTAAGTCATGTGACCATATCTAAAATTAAGTTTGTAAACAAATGCATTTGATTATAAAATATCACACAACATTGAAAAGATTGTTGCTTCATAATAAATAAATAAATATATATATATATATATATATATATATATATATATATATATATATATATATATATATTCTGATAAAATCACACGGAAAAGGGAAACAACGAGCACCTCAGTTGCCTCTGAAGATGTCTTGAATAAGACGAAAGCTAAGGTGCTCCGTTGTTTCCTTTTCCTGTGTGTGATTTGGATCAAGATATTATATATATATATATATATATATATATTGATTATATGTAGAAGTCCGCGTGCTTTATTGGGCTAATTAATATATATATATATATATATATATATATATATATATATATATATATATATATATATATATATATATATATATATAGAGTGTGTGTGTGTATGGATAGCAATCGTATTGTTAATGCCTCCTTCAATTTACGAAGTTGAGAAGCATCCTTTTCATTCGTGTCAAGGGATGATAACTGTCACACGAAGTGATTTCACGTAAAAAGCTGGATTCATTGCCAAGACACACAGCTATATTTTCAACATGGGGGAGGTGCTGGCCGTCGTCAGTTAGATTCACAAAATAGATATTCTTGGTGTAATCAGCAACAAGAAAAAAAAGACTTTAAATTCAGGTTAGGTTAAACATTTCAATTTGGCTGCTGGACTAGGAGTGAATATATGTGTGTCTGTTCCTTTTATTGTAATTTCATCATATGCCATTATTAACATATAAATATTATGGAAAACATTTGAGCGGTATTAACTCATGTCTACGGTATAAGAAATTAATGTGGAAGATACAACTATTTCATTGTTCCATCACTAATGGTCAGTATTCAAGAAGAAAACGTTTGCATTATATTTTATAATATTAATATTTTGTGGGGGCGGCTGAGCTGCCAAGGTTCATTAAGGTGGACATATTACCTCATAGTCGACAGTGTAATACAGTGCCTCGTCGTCAACACTATGATTTGAAGTAACTGAGTGAGCCTCTCTCAACAGCCACTCAGAGGGCTCGTCACATAAACAACTGAGTGAGCCTCTCTCAACAGCCACTCAGAGGTCTCGTCATATAAACAACTGAGTGAGCCTCTCTCAACAGCCACTCAGAGGGCTCGTCACATAAACAACTGAGTGAGCCTCTCTCAACAGCCACTCAGAGGGCTCGTCACAAAAACAACTGAGTGAGTCTCTCTCAACAGCCACTCAGAGGTCTCGTCATATAAACAACTGAGTGAGCCTCTCTCAACAGCCACTCAGAGGGCTCGTCACATAAACAACTGAGTGAGTCTCTCAACAGCCACTCAGAGGGCTTGTCACAACAACTGAGTGAGCCTCTCTCAACAGCCACTCAGAGGTCTCGTCACACAACAACTGAGTGACTAAACAACTCTCAACAGCCACTCAGAGGGTGTCACTCTGAGTGAGTCTCTCTCAACAGCCACTCAGAGGGCTCGTCACATAAACAACTGAGGGAGCCTCTCTCAACAGCCACTCAGAGGGCTCGTCACATAAACAACTGAGTGAGCCTCTCTCAACAGCCACTCAGAGGACTCGTCACATAAACAACTGAGGGAGCCTCTCTCAACAGCCACTCAGAGGGCTCGTCACATAAACAACTGAGTGAGCCTCTCTCGACAGCCACTCAGAGGGCTCGTCACATAAACAACTGAGGGAGCCTCTCTCAACAGCCACTCAGAGGGCTTGTCACATAAATCACTCAGACACAATTATTATGATTGTTGAAATTGATTTCAAGGACTTTCTCTTTGTCGTCGTTATCGACATAATAGTTTTGTTAATTCTCCCAATGACTCAGACTATCAGGTTACAACATGGAATAAGACTAGCGAAAATATTATTGAAGATTCACATTAGCTTTCAGGTCATTCATGAACTTGAGTTTACTAACTTCAGAATGTTACATCTTAGGAGTAACGCAGTTATTCTGACACAATTATATTCATGGGGAAGAGAGTAACAAAAAAATTCGTTTGTATTTTCCACACAACTAAACTACCATGAAAGCCAATTATTGTCGCCTGAGATTTGATGACCAACCATTTTTAGTTTTTTCTGGAATATTAGTAACTATCCCAATATATATATTCAACAACCTCACCAGCCAGGACTCGAACCCTCGACCTATTGTGTGTGACCAGGGAACGCTACCACCATGCCACAAGAACACTAAAAGCAATCCTAGACTATGTTATATTTCACACAAAGCCTGTTCATCGAGCTGATGGCGCCGTGAACCTCCAATGGGGATTGCTTGTGCCATTTATGTGGTGGGAGTAGCATTTTACCGAATCCAGCTGGTATGAAACACGAGGTACCATATATATTTCATTTAGTCCATATAGCACGCGGACTTTCAACATATAATTAGTGACCTCATGGCATGGTGGCATGGTGGTAGCGTTCCCAGATCACATGCAGTAGGTCGAGTGTTCGCGTCCTGGCTGGTGAGGTCGTTGATTTTATATATATATATATATATATATATATATATATATATATATATATATATATATATATATATATATATATATAAACTGTGAAGTATTGTGTACTATAATTGCATAAATAATAGATTTGTGTTCTATAACTGTAGGATGATAGATACATGTACAACAATTACTGTGGAGATTATAAAACAGGTGTACTATAACTGTAGACATCATAGACATGTGTACTATATTATGTGGTGCGCGGTAATGCAAAAGTCACTATACCAGCGGCTATGTGCATAAGAGCGAAGGGTCGTCGTGCTCCTGCAGATAACTAACTTTCTTTAGTTAGGGAGAAATGGTCACGAGTCTAAAATAAAGTGAAACGTAAATTTCGTCAAATATCTACGAGTATACAAGAGAGTCCTGTGAAGGCTGGTGTGTGGACGGTGGTGTACCATTATTCACAACTATTGCAGGGCAGAGCGTAGTTGACTATTATTGTATGTACAATACTGAGGATTTAGGGATTAATCGTGTAATCTGTGCAGCTTTGGCATTAATGAGAAAGGTTCACTAACAGTTGCACAAAATTAGTACTATATGATTCAGTTTAATCTAAAATGACTAAACTGCACTGGAATGAATACTCACTCTCACAAAGCCTAATAAGGTCAATCTGTCAATAATAATAATTTCCTGTTTTAGAGGGATAATCGTAGGTCACAACAACTTAACCTTTCCTCTGGGGTTTAAAGAGAATATTGTTACTGTGGACAGCATATTGTGATAAGTATTCATTCACATCACAAGTTCAGTCAACGACCTGAACATTGCATTAATAAGTAAACTGTAAATAAATCTATGACTTGTTATTGTTTCCTATGAATGACTAACAACACTACTGTCCGTAGACACTTATGCTGTGTATTTCAGAGACAGTCAAAAACCTAGTTTGATACAGAAGAGCGTTTGTGACAAAGCAGTTTGATAATTAGTTTCACTAGACTACAGCTATACTGTACATGCACAGGTCACCCCGGGTCTTAGAGACCACAGGGTTCGCCTCTGTCCTACTGACCTCACTAACCTCTATAAAATACTTTATATAACTGCTAATATTATGCCATGTAGCCTCCACCACAACCGGCCACCACGTCCACCATATATATATATATATATATATATATATATATATATATATATATATATATATATATATATATATATATATATATATATATATATATATATATATATATATATATATATATATATATATATACGACATAAACATGAAGTTTTAGAGTACAGGGACAGTCAGGGCAGGTGGACGTGGTCGGCAAGGGTGGAAGGCGTCAAGCACTGGCTCCCGCTCTTCTGAAAGACGCTGGTAACCTAAGTCATATTCACCTGTGGAGTAGTCGAGGGCAAACTCCTCGTTGATGTTGCCAGCAACGATGGTGTACATAATTGGTTCTCCGGAGGGACTAGCGGCTTCCACCCTGGTGACGGGTGTCCCCTGGGGCGCGTCCTCAGGCACGGTCCCAAAATAGCGGGCGGAGGTGAACATTGGGCCCTCGGCTGATACCACCCTGCAGCCCAACATGGTTCTTTAATTCTACACTTGTCCAGTATACATCAGAAATCAGAATATTTGTAAATTCCATGTATAGAATGAACCTATCAGTGCAATGCATTTCACTTACCGTATTAAAACGTGAGCCTGGGAGCTAAGCGGCTGCTTTCCCCCATCGTAGGCGGCGACGGTGAGACTGTAGGTTTTGTCGGCCACCATAAGCGACTGCTTCAGAGAGATCTCACCTGTCTTCTTGTTGACAGAGAAGAGCTCCCCACTACCGCGCACCAACTCGTACCTCACACTACCAAACTCACCAGCGTCGGCGTCTATTGCTCGCACCTTGGTAAACAGGAAAGAATATTTGCCTTAATATATTTCACACCTGCTAGATACTGTACCTCACACCCGTACAACACACCTGTAGATACTGTACCTCACACCCATACAACACACCTGCTAGATACTGTACCTCACACCCGTACAACACACATGTAGATACTGTACCTCACACCCGTACAACACACCTGTAGATACTGTACCTCACACCCGTACAACACACATGTAGATACTGTACCTCACACCCGTACAACACACCTGTAGATACTGTACAACTGTACAACACAGCAAGCAGTATCCTGCTATAATAAATTTATATCAGTAGTACTTCTCTCTCTCTCTCTCTATATATATATATATATATATATATATATATATATATATATATATATATATATATATATATATATATATATATATGTATATTTCATTAGCCCAATAAAGCACGCGGGATTTCTATCAACACTCTTCTGAGATTTCATTCACGCCCACGAGCCCATGACTGTGATCGGTCTATGGGCTTGTGGGCCGGGTTCGAATCCTGGTGGGTTGAGGTGTTGATTGTATATATATATATATATATATATATATATATATATATATATATATCTTTGTTCATTTGTTATTTTCTGTCTGCTTATCTGTATTTAACTCTCTGCACTCTTCTTCTCGGACTCTGTGGCAGTCTGTCTGTCTCTTCACTTGACTAACCTTGGTGACGACATGTCCCCGGGGAGCACTGGTGGAGACGAGAGCGTAGTAAGGCTGGTTGAGGAACACTGGCTCGTTGTCATTGACATCCATCACGGCGACGCGTACCAAGACGTGCGCCACGTTTCCTATTTCCTCCTCATCACTCGCCTGTTATAAAGGTACAAAAGAAAGTGTTAGTGAGAAGCATTACTAAATTATACATCAGCCAGATCGATCCAAACTGTGCATTAAAAATTACAGTTGATGGGAAAATAAAATTATGTGACGTTCTTATCAATGGTCAAAGTCTGTTTAATAACTATTTAACATCGAAGAATTAGTTGCAGGGATAACCTTGCGAGCACGAGCCTTTTATTGACTATTTATACACTGTGCTCCAGCGCCTGAACCAGATCCGATTACAACTCCCTAGCGGTAACAAGTTACACAAAAAAGACATTTATGTAGTGTGTAATATTTCTTGCTCTGCTAAAATTCGATTTGGATCAGTATCGCTGTCCAATTACCTCTTGGACTCTGTAATATCATGTACTTCTTTTAAAACGAGTAAAACAAACCAACCTAACCTAACCAAACGAAATGTGTTTATATAAATATATTTTTTTTATATTCCCTAGCTTGTAAAGTTAAGGTTTTTCCAATTTTCATTTTTTAGGGAGAATCGTACAGTACATGCATTGCATTAGTGATTTTAGTGTATGTACTGTGCAGTAAGTAATGTGTACGTCTGAGGAGAACTCTGGCTGCAGAATAGCTCCGTTACCCATAAACAGATGTTACGTTTTTCCTCTCTTATTCGAGTTGGAGATACGGTTTCTACTGGAGTCTTTACGGTAATATACAGAGTGAATGAAGGAACTGGACCATGTTTATAAATGTTAAAAATTTATTTAGGTCACCAAATGCTGCGTGTAGTGTAAAAGAAAATGAGACACTCCAGTGAGGGAAAACTAAACAGTTATTTAAGCGAACTGAACCCGGTAATGAATGAGACTAATTGAAATCAACTGAGAGAAGCCTGTTTCTTGGAGGACTCCATTGAATGGCGATTAAGAGAGACAGCAGAGATGTAATCAAGACCACTAATTTTGAAGACTGAAACCTGTCTTCCGAGGCCAAGACCTTTAGAAGTCGAAACCGAGACAGAGACCGTTCTCAAATTTAGTAATTATGAATCATTTGAAGATTATCCCAGGTAGTGACGGGGTGGTTAAACTTCACATGGGACACATTGGGGGAGGGGGCAACACCGGATGACTATTGAGGTCCACTATCACCTGAAAAATAGCATCCGCAAGAGAGTGTCGGAATGGTTAAACTTAAGGTGGATTAAAATGGGACGAATCTTCACGTGAGCACTTTGGATCTTATGTTCAGAGTGGAGGACGCTTTATCGCACACAGTAACTGACATCATGAACCAAGTGAGTTTGAAACTTGACCCACGCTTGTTAAATTTATCTTTAGAAATCATAAGCTGCAGTAGTGACCGAAAAGGGTAGATCATTCACTTAAGTAGTTAGATTGTGAAGAAGGGGGCGAGATCACTTACATACTTGGCCAATTTGATGGACATTCAGCTGATAGAGGGCACAACGCTAAGAACGGTAGAGCTGGAGAGTGAGGAACTGGATAGATAGACAACTTGTGACTCTCAGGTAATGTAAAGAAGAAATCCAGTTAGAATTATATGATGCAAAGTTTGACTAGAATGAGGAGTTACGTAGTACTTCAGCTTGGATGAGGCAATGATATAAAAACCTTAGTGAGAAAGTTGTATATAATTTATGACATGACAGATGAATGTTACTGTTGATTTAAGAGCTGCGTAGGACCCCAGAAAAAGTCGAGAGAGAGAGAGAGAGAGAGAGAGAGAGAGAGAGAGAGAGAGAGAGAGAGAGAGAGAGAGAGACTCAATTACAAATGGAACAAAGGAGTAAAAATACAGAGTGGGTTCAGCTGTAGAATGGAGAGTGAGGGACCCAGGTAAAGTCAACTAGCACAGAGGATATATTCTGTAATTCATGTGGAATGGAGAGGTACACTAATGTGAAGCCAAGAGGAGATAGCCAAGAGAGTGTTCAGGGGAAACAGTAAGGTTACGGCTTTGTTTCTTGGGGACGGCATAGAACCTGAAATGGTAATGGGAAGGATCAGACGGGAAACAGAAAGGCCGGAGGGAATTTGCCAGCCAGACGGGTCAGAAATCAGTAGGATAGTGAGCTGCTGTAATAGTGAGTGGGGAGGAACTGGGGTCGATCAGTGGCAGACAGTTGTGAGACAGAGTGTGCTAGTGATCAATTGACGTTGAAATCAGCGTGACCTCAGATAAGTGTTGGTAGAAGGACGGGAATTGTAGTGATTAACAGACACAGGAACACAAGTCACAACTGTGGATAAGTGGATTGATATTGACAATTTGGGACCTGCTGGAAGTGAGTAATGAGGGATCAGAAATGCACGTGTTTACAGGGGATTAAACTTTGACTGAAGGAGCAGGACTCTGGACACACATGTATTACTTGGGCCAAGCAGGAAGAGGAATGTCCGAGTAAAACCATTGTGTGGAGGAGGTTAGAAAGGTTTGAAAGTTGTTGGACCCTAAGTGTAGGAAGGTGTTCGACTGGTAAAAGGCTGATTCCTCGAATCCCTCCACAATATTGTAGGATACTGTCTGTGTTCATTCCTTCTCTTAGATAAATGGTTCGTAAAGAAGAAGTTATTAAATCATGATTAGCACAGGATGAAAGTTGATTGTCTGAAGGACTAGTTGTACTTCCTACTGACGCGTAACTCATGTTTTACTGGTAGATGTAACTGAACGTCAAAGAGAGCAGACATGGAACTGATATATTGGTATTGTTGCAATTGACACCGAGGTGGAGTCAACTTCAGGAGAGGAATGCAGCATGAGCCACCAGTTATGATAGGTAGACCACTAAGGTTATTATGCCACAGAGTTTCTGCGTATGAGAAGGCCATAAGTAAATAATGATATAGATTCTCGAACTAACAAACTACGACTGTTCCTAGAGGATATAGTACAACAGTTTACTGCTACCTGTTTTGACACTTGGCTCGGCAGAACACCCTATACATGTAAGCCATCATCGTAAGTCATCAATATCTTCCATCACAAAACACTTTAAAATCGCCTCTTTAACATCAGACTTGCGCAAAATTTCACGCAATTCCATAATAACACTCCAGCCTTTGCCCCAAAATGCAGTGCAGTAAAAAACTATGACGTAGTTATACCCTGACCTTACATGGCCTTACATAATTTAGAAATGTCTGCAGTTAAATGATCAGTGATAGATAAATTTAGAGATTACAGCGTAGGATGATATTTTACAGTTTATATTGAATACATCCTTTTCAATCAACTAGAGTTTAAGAACATAGGAGTAGGACAGAGTAGGTGGAAATGCGGACTAGACCATTTTTTTTTTCACCACACCATGTAGGTCAGAGCAGAACAACACCACTGTGACCAGAAGTTGTAAATAAATGTATGTTATGGTCACAACCTTAAGATAAAGCTTGCTAATACATTCAGTAAGTTGGGTTCAAAGTGTCATCCAGTGTCTGGGCTGTGTGAGTCAAGCACTAAAGTTTCTTGCGTGTAGGCATTAAGTTATATGATTCAGTATTTTGTTTTTCCACACTCGTGACCTTCCAAATCAAGCCTATCTGAAGGTGTTGTGGTGCAGGCAGAAAAAAGGGGGGTTTCCTTCACCAGTATCCATTGAAAATCAGGTCTGGGGTGGAGGGGGTCGAGAATTTTTTTTTTATTATTAGCCATATATTTTGAGTTATCTGGATGAAATCAATCGTTGTGGAAATTTAACGACAAAATGTGAGATTTTAATCGTCATATTTTGATAAATTTAAGTCTGAGTGTGGTTAGGGAGTAACTGCATATTTGTTTATAAGTAATGCTTGAGCCTCATGAGAATTTTAGCTTCAGAACAGCATAGTTACCCTTAAACAATGGTTACATTTTCTCTGTTAAGCGAGTTGCTGTCTCTCTCGATGCACTCTGTAAAAAAAAATTATCTTTGCAATTCTTGTGGGAAACAAAATGACATCACGGACAAAGGTTTTTTAAAAAAGGCTCATGAGGGATACTGTTATTCACCAATCATAATGCAACGAAGTAATTCTATATTTCAAATGAAATAACTAAATTAGATCTACCATAATGGGGAGGAGATGTGTAACAATCGCGCCTACCAACCATAGCAACACAACACAATTACTACAGAAAAGTAAGAAGGTTCTTGTGGGGATTTTGCTTGATAGTGTAACGAAAAAACAACAATGTTTACATATTTTAGAAATATATTAGTGTGTCACCAGATGCTGGGAGAGAAAATGAAGAACTCAAGTGTAGATGATAGTGTAGTTAACGTAGTATAGTTATTAGTGTAGTTAATGTGGTGTAGGCGATAGTGTAGTTGACGTAGTATAGTTAATAATGTAGTTAATGTGGTGTAGACGATAGTATAGTTAAAGTAGTATAGTTAATAATGTAGTTAATGTGGTGTAGACGTTAGTGTAGTTAACATAGTATAGTTAATAGTGTAGTTAATGTGGTGTAGACGATAGTGTAGTTAACGTAGTATAGTTATAGTGTAGTTAATGTGGTGTAGACGATAGTATAGTTAGCGTAGTATAGTTAATAGTGTAGTTAATGTGGTGCAGACGATAGTGTAGTTGACGTAGTATAGTTATAGTGTAGTTAATGTGGTGTAGACGATAGTGTAGTTGACGTAGTATAGTTAATAGTGTAGTTAATGTGGTGTAGACTAAAGTGTAGCTGATGCCAAATGCATTGGTAACATTGCACTGGGGTATCTAGTGACAGTACTTGGACGCCGTTTCCAATAATATGGAATAAACTGTTGAAAATGAAAAAAAAATTATCTGATACTGTCGTTGGTGTAAGAGGTAATTGCCTAATAACGATAACTTCTACGTATTTTCATTTTACTTCTGACTGGCCATATTCATATCAGTGAATAGTTTCATACAAAACCTAACCTAACCTTACCTAACCAACCCTAACCTAACCTTACTTAACCAACCCTAACCAAACCTAACCTAAACTAACCTATCCTAAACTCGCCTAACTTACCTTAGGTATAATTTGGTTATCTGGTGACTGTAAACAACGTCTTAATTGAACAAAGTAATTTTTACCATATATTATTTTATTTCCATTAAGTTGGAAAACGTCTTTTGTGTGTGTGTGTGTGTGTGTGTGTGTGTTCGCACACAGGGTGGTGAAATGCGTCTAGTGTGGCAGCATTATGTCAGTGTTAAGGTGCAAGCACTGTTTGCTCCCTCTCGCTCTCAGCTGCCGACGCTGGCTAGCCCTCATGGCGAACAGGGAAGCAACTTGCATAAGTCTTCCCCAGCCAGTACAGAGCCTCTTCACCATCAAGACTCCTGCTGTGCCTCCTCGTGGCAACACTCGGTAACTGGGTGCCTCGTGGGCTCAGGCTAGACCAGAAAGGAATTTCGGAGTAGAAGTGGGCCCCAGAGACGGCGCATAGGCCCACTGGCATGTACAGTAGACACGTTTCTGGCGCCTACCAACCATTGCCCCGCTGCCTTGCGTAATAACCTTGGTAGGTAAAAGGCTACGGCAGACATGCTTACAGAGCTCCAACAAGACCCTAACGACAGTATAGGCGGAAGAGGTGACCACCATGGGAACCCAACAACTACACCAACAGTTGAAGGTAATGCATGATGGACAGGCTACTACGGCGAAGCCCAAGAAACTGGGCTATTGACAGTCTGGTGCAACTCTCTCTCTCCCCAGTCGTTGCAATACTTGCACCACTGGATCAGGAAAAGAGAGAGCCAAGATGTGTGGTTGCAGTTCGCGCTCTTACCTCACCACGACCAGCCATCATCCAGCTCATCATACTTCTCATCATCATCAAAACCCCTATACCCCCAAAAGTCCTATGGCGACGGGGATTGGCAGAGATGACTCCCGGGAGTCTCTAGTCACAACTCAGCACATGGGCGGCACAGATAAGATGGTCGTTTATGCACTGGGATCTAGGCAGCAGTGCAATCCGGTCCTGTCGGTGTGACTGAACAGCACTTTCGAGGAGACACTCTGCTCTCCCCACCTGGGAAGGGGGCTAGAAAAGGTGCCCTGAACATAGCCTGCCTAAAAAAACAACCTGACTGGGCAACCGCAACCCGTAAGATCATCCTTATGCGGTCGAAAACACAATCAAAATTATAGATCCAAACAAAAACAAACTATATAACCTCTTATGGTCGCTGCATGGAATGTCAGGACCCTTCTGGATACTGGTACAAATGAGCGTCCTGAAAGAAGAACTGCCCTTGTGGCAAAAGAGCTGGCAAGGTAAAACATCGACATATCAGCCATATGTGAGTCCCGGCGCCCTGATGAGGATCACCTCACAGAACGAGGGTCTGGCATTTGACAGGGAACCATAGGGAGTGTGCTGCACACAAACTCACTATCACCAATACCCTGTTTAGGCAGGCAGACAAGTTCAAGGGTTCGTGGCAACAAACACGATCCACAAACTGGCATCTCATTGACTACATCATTGTCAGAGAAAGAGATCGCCATGCACGTCTCAGACCACTGCGACATTGATTGTCGACACGTCAGAGCCAAGCTTTCACTTCACGTTGCCCGAAAACAGTGAAAGGAAGAAGCCTCCAGAAGAGGTTTTAACACTAAGCGTCTGGAGGATCCAGCGGTAGCACATGCTTTCAAAGAGCAGCTCGAACATAGGCTGATAAACAACGTAAATCCCAGTGACGAATGGGATATTCGCGACACTGTCAGGACAAAAACCTGCAAAGAGACCCTCGGCCAGATCTAAAGAATACACCAAGACTGGTTTGATGAAAGTGACCCGGCAATCAATGTACTCATCAATGATAAATGTGTTGCTTTAACTGACTGGCAGAACAACCCTCAGTCTTGGAACAAAACTGATACCTTCCGCAAGAAGAAATTGGCGGCCCAGTGGGAACTTTGCAATCTAAAGAACGACTGGCTTAAAAATAAAGCATGTGAAACACAAAAAAATGCAGATCAGCACAAGATGAGCGATTTTTTCAATTACACTTAAACATTTTATGGGCCAATCACTCAGGGCGCAGCCGCCCTTCCACTAATCTGACGGAAACTCCATAATTAAAGACGATGAAGGTCTCCTTCAGTGCTGGAAGGAGCACTACCATTCACTGCTCAACCAAAACACCGATGTGGATGTTCTGACTACCCAGCAGGTCCCTCAGCATCCAGAACTGACCCACCTTAGCTATCCTCCATTCCTGCATGAGCTGCATACCGCCATCAAACAAATGAAAAATATCAAAGCCTCACGGCCTGATGGAATCCCAGCCGAGGTGTATAAAGCAGGAGGACTTTTGTTTACCAGAACAAGGGACACCGGTCAGACTGTGGCAACTACCGTGAGATCTCGCAGCTGTCCGTAGCTGCCCGAGTCCTCCTAAACTTACTTCTTCCTGAGGCAGAAAACTTCCTCCTAGAATCTCAATGTGGCTTTAGACCATCATGTGATACCACTGACATGATAGTTGCTGCCGGCCAGATACAGGAAAAGTGCAGAAAAAAGTTTCGTGACCTGTACATGACTTTCATCAACCTATCCAAGGCACTCGACTCGGTCAACAGGTAAACCCTCTGGTGGGTCCTCAGCCGTTTTGGCTGCCCACCAAAATTCATCGCCATTGTGAGGCAACTCCACGATGGCATGAACGGCAGTGTCCTGCACAAAGGCACCCAGTCTGAGTTCTTCCCCATCTAAACGGGGGTTAAACAAGGGTGCGTGCTGGCAACCAACTCTCTTTTCCATTTTCTTGGCTGCCTTCCTTTCTCGTGCCAGTGTAAATTTAGCCGGCGGGGTGTACATCCGGTACCGGATGAAGGGTCTTTTCAACATAAACCGACTCCAGGGAAGAACATAGGTGTCGCAGGCTTCCATTACTGAACATCAGTATGCAGACGACCTACCCCTTGTCGCTTACACTGAACGCAACCTACAGGAGATCCTGAACACCTATGCAGATGCGTATGCACACTTCGGTCATGAGGTGACTGTACGTAAGACTCAGATTCTTTTTCAGCCTGGCCCTGGTTCAGCCACACCTCCAGGTTACCGGTACTACCCTCACTAATGTTACCCACTTTCGGTATCTCGGCTCCCACCTGTCCACCACCATGGACATTGATGAAGAGACTCAGCATCGGATCGGATGTGCACCCCAAGCCTTTGGCAGACTCCGAAACCGTGTCTTCAGCTGTAGGAAGATGAAATTATGTACAAAGTTACACGTATATCGAGTAGTGATCCTCCTCACCCTGCTATATGGCAGCGAGATAATGGTTCACATATAGAAGGCACATCACGGCACTTGAAAACTTTCACCAACGTAGTCTACGTTCCATCCTCCGAGTTCGCTGGGAAGATAAGAGAACAAATGCCAGTGTTCTTGCTGACACCAGCTGTAAGAGCATTGAAGCTACCATTATCCTCGAACAACTACACTGGACTGGCCATATTACCCTCATGGACGACAGTAGACTACCACCGCAGCTACTTTACAGTCACTTAACGAATAGTAAACGTAATCCTGGCGGGCAACTGAAGAGGTATAAGGATAGTCTTAAGACAAACCTGAAAAAGTGTCAAATCGACCACCTCACATGAGAGACGATTTCTCTACACTATAACGCTTGGAGGAGCACCATACAAGAAGGTCTCAATACTTTCGAGTTAGCCCGACTTCATAACGAGGCAGACAAGCATCAACGCCGGAAAGACGCTGCCGCCGCCCCTCTAGCACTAGATGTAGCCCCCACATATGCAACTTCTGTGATCGACCTTGCTGGTCCCGTATCGGCCTCTTTATTCACCTCAAAACTCACCAACCTATGTGACATCCTTAATAACTCATATCACTGTATCATAGCTGGATGATCGTCATACTCGACTCCAAGTGACAGTAAAGTTGTAGTTGTAGTAGTAGTAGTAATAACCAAGGATAATCCTTTGGTGTATCAAACTAGCATTATTGTTATTGCCATAAGTTCATATTTGGTCAAAGTAGCTTTGTTTCATTTGAGAAGCCCTTTGTTACCATATTATTAGCTCAGTCTACATCAGGTTCGGTTATGTTAGGTTCGTTTCTTTACATGTAATTTGTTTGAGTAGAGCAATTTCTGAGCACTACATATGGAATCAGGCAAGAACTAATTTATACAAGTAAACTTGGTCAATGACGGAGCTCGCGGGATAATAAAAACTGTACTGTGCATGTATGACTTTACCTGGACAACCAGTGTGTAGTGGTCCTTGGCCTCGCGGTCGAAAGGCTTCCCTGTAGTCTTGATGACCCCGGCAGTGGGGCGTATCTCGAAGTTCTCGGTAGGGTTGAGGATAGAGTAGTGAATGTGGTGGTTCAGCGAGAGGCCCCTCACGCCCAGGGACACCACATTTATTTCTTTCGTGGAGTTCTCGAAGACATTGGCCCAATACTCGTTTTGTGTGAACACCAGCGTGGACAGGGGGGCGTCTTGCACTATTACCTCAGCTGTAGCTGTCGATGTCATGGATCCATCTGTGGCCTTCAGCGTCAGGTTGTAGTGGGTCTTTAGATTCAACTGATCACGTACACATAAACACCTGCTTTCACTGTCAAACCCAAATCGTTTAGTTTCATCCCCATCGACTATGGAATACTTAATGTGGGACCAGTCAGTCTCTCCGTTATGTTGTACTTCCTCCATCTGGGCCAAACACAACACCCTCACGCCAGGGAAGGTGGGCAGGTAGAGGCCAGCGCTGTAGTGAGGCTGTGAGAAAGCTAAAGGCTCAATCTTGACACTTCTGACAGTGACAACCACCGGAGCAGGAGCGACACACTCCCGCCGGGGGTCACCGCCGTCACTGGCCCACACATTGAACTCCAAAGTCTTACCTGTCACCTCGTCAAGGCGCCCCGACACCCACACAGCTCCTGGGAATAAAGAGAGGAAGACGGAAGAGGAATTATTGTTCTTGAATACTAAGATTCAGATCATTTAGTAATATTTAGTAAGAATCCTCTCCATCTATGTCATTATCTGGTAAAATAATTCACTCGAGTAGGTTATGAGAACACTCCCGTCTTATATAAGTGTGTGATGAAGTACGGTAGGTAGCGGGAGTATTTGTGGGTTGTATGTGCGGGTAATCTTTTCTTTTTCTGATTGTATGCACGCACACGCTTGACCTTACATACCATCATTAACTCTAAATTAAAAACAACGCCAAATAAAACTACCAGTTGGTGGATGTGTTGCTATTGGATAAACCAGTTACTAAATAGTTATGGACTAAACAGATCAATTAATGTAAAGTCTGTCGTCAGTAATGCTTCATAGATGACAACACCAACATAGATGACAACACCAATATAGATGACAACACCAACATAGATGACAACACCAATATAGATGACAACACCAACATAGATGACAACACCAATATAGATGACAACACCAACATAGATGACAACACCAATATAGATGACAACACCAACATAGATGACAACACCAACATAGATGACAACACCAATATAGATGACAACACACCAACACAGACGGCAACGACAACATAGATATCAACACCAGCATAGAAGACAACACCAACACACAGACGACAACACCAACATAAATATCAACACCAACATAGATGACAACACCAACACAAACGACAACAACAGCATAGATATCAACACCAACATCGATGACAACACCAACAGAAGACAACACCAACATAGATATCAGCACCAACATAGATGACAACACCAACATAGATGACAACACCAACACAGACAACAACACCAACATAGATGACAACAACACCAACATAGATATCAACACCAACATAGATGACAACACCAACATAGATATCAACACCAACATAGATGACAACACCAACACAGACAACAACACCAACATAGATGACAACACCAACACAGATGACAACACCAACATAGATGACAAACCAACTTAGATGACAACACCAACATAGATGACAACACCAACATAGATGACAACAGCATAGATATCAAACCAACATCGATGACAACACCAACTTAGAAGACAACACCAACATATATCAACACCACATAGATGACAACACCAACATAGATGACAACACCAACACAGACAACAGCACCAACATAGATGACAACACCAACATAGATATCAACACCAACATAGATATCAACACCAACATAGATGACAACACCAACACAGACAACACAACAACACACCAACATAGATGACAACACCAACATAGACACACCAACGCAGATGACAACACCAACATAGATGACAACACCAACATAGATGACACAGCATAATATCAAACCAACATCGATTAACAAACAACAACTTAGATGACAACACCAACCAGACCAACGCAACAATCAACATAGATGACAACACCAACATAGATGACAACACCAACATAGATGAGACAGCACAGCATAGATATCAACACCAACATCATGACAACACCAGAGATGACAACACCAACTTAGAGACAACACCAACATGCAGATGACAACAGCATAGATATCAACACCAACACAGACGACAACACCAACATAGATGACAACACCAACGCAGATGACAACGCAGACGACAACAACAACATAGATATCAACACCAACATAGATGACAACACCAACACAGACGACAACACCAACATAGATGACAACACCAACGCAGACGACAACACCAACACAGACAACAGCAACAACATAGATATCAACACCAACATATGGATGACAACACCAACACAGATGACAACACCAACATAGATGACAACACCAACACAGACGGCAACAAAGCAGGATATCACCAACATAGATGACAACTTAACATAGATGACAACACCAACACAGACGCAAAACAACAGAGATATCAACACCAACACAGACGACAACACCAACATAGATATCAACACCAACAGATGACACCAACGCAGACGACAGCAACAACATAGATATCAACAGACCAACATAGACAACATAACATAATATCAACACCAACATATGACAACACCAACATAGATGACAACACCAACACAGACGACAACACCAACATAGATATCAACACCAGCATCATGACAACACCACATGACCAGATAACACCAACACAGACGACAACACCAACATAGATATCAACCCAAGCATGGATGACAACACCAACGCAGACAACAACAACATAGATATCAACACCAACATAGATGACAACACCAACACAGACGACAACACCAACATAGCCCCAAGTCAAAACAAGAGGCGCTATCCTAACATGAAGGTTGACTGTAACAATAAATGTGTTTTTATAGGTTTTCATATAACAGAGAGGGAGGAGAGAGGGAGAGGTGGAGTGGTGGAGAGGAGGAGAGGAGAGAGAGGGAGAGGAATGGGGGAGAGAGGGGAGGGGGGAGAAAGAGAGGGAGGAGAGGAATGGGGGTGAGAGAGAGAGGGAGAGGGGGAAGAAGGGAGAGAGAGAGAGTGGAGAGAGAGGGAAAGGGAGAGATAGGGAGGGGAGAGAGAGAAGAAAGGTTGGGAAACAGGAGGGAGAGAGAGAAGAAGGTGGGAGAGGAGAGGGGGAGCGATAGGAGAGGGAGGAGCAGAAAGAGGGGGAAGAGAGAGGAGAGGTAGAGACAGTAAGGGAAGGAGAAAAGTGGAGTCAGTGAAGGTTGTCACCAGAGGCACCACGAGGATGATCTCCCCTAACACCGTGGCCGGGATGAGAGAGAGAGAGAGAGAGAGAGAGTAAGAGGAGGATGGGACTACAAACACAACTCTACTACCTATACGATGAATAACAATCGCAATACGAAAAAAGTTAAGTTACCCAATTTTACTGGAGAGAAGATAAGTGACAGTAAGAGATATTATACCATCAGTATTCCTCTGTAGATCACTCCGATATTCAAGGATTTTTTTTTTTTCATCCATACATTTACTGCGTTAAGTGTTTCTGGGGGGAAGACTGGAAGGTCAGCTGTTTAATAGATAGTTATGATGAAACTACGAGTATTTCTAACGGTATACCAGAAACACACGCCCACAATATCACACACACTACAATCTAAAGCCCACTGAGCATATACTCAATCACAGGTAACCACAGACCACAGGGCACTGCTTATAACATCACATCCAAACGTCTGGCCACCTAACACAAGGACACAGACTGGAAGCCTTTATTCCACTGGGTGACGGGGTGGTTATGGGTGAGGGGTGGGTTGGCCTTTCACTTGAGTAATGTAATGAAATGACACCCTTCCCCACCCATTAACCGCTAACACACCCACGCGGCCAACCGTGAGCTGCCCATTCTATCCACACAAAGATGTCTCACTGAGCATGTGACACTGTAGACTGGTATCTGGTATTGTCTTTATGTGATCTACCTTGCACAAATTATAGTCTCAGTTTTAGAAATTTGTGCTATGTGTGTGTGTGTGTGTGCCATTTTAACAGATGAGAGATACTAGAATTAGGTTTTCATTAGTTCTGTGTTGCTGTTATTATTAAATCTTTCAACAACAGAGGTTAAGGGTTGTTGGCCTTTTTCAGTCATCCTTCCTAAACCCTGATTATATTACGAGTGATAAAAAGAATCCTTGAATATAACATGGACCCTTCCTTATAACATTGGTCATTCATACATTCCTCTTATATTTCTGGTGTTTTTTATCCATTATCTGATTCTCTCAGTAATGGTTGTGTTTCTATAGCTGTATCTCTCAGTAATATGCTCATGTGTCAGTAATTACTAGTGTTACTCTTTAATCTTTCATCTCCTTCTTCTCCTCCTCTCTCCTTCCTTCCTCACCGTCGGCCTTGACGGTTATGAGGAGCTTCCCTCAGTAGTGACAACCTCCCACTGATCCTGCCTCCACCTCCTCTCATTCCTCTTCTTCCCGTCTCTCTATTAATTTATTGAAGATATAATAAACAACTTCAATTTTTTACACTGTCTTCCTTGACTAAACCCAACCTATTTATAAAGATCTATACAGCTAAATAAATAATATGTCCATTTGTTCATTTAATTAAAGCTGCTCCTACAGATTTTTCCTGACAGTTGAGTAAGATACGTGTATATGTTCTGGCTGGGGAGATAAGTGGGAGAATCACCCGAGTATTGTTTGTCGTGTTCTAAAGTGTCTTGGTTCTAAACTTCATATTATAAACAACTGTGTCAAGATTAGCAATAGTTAATCAGCGCCTTGTGTCCCCCCATTCCACAGTCAAGCGCTGTTGGCAGCTATGCAAAATAAGGTTCACCCGAAGTCTACAGGCAGTGAAGCTCTTAATTATGACGATCTTTAACGTAATGAACATCAGTGCCAGCTAAAACTCACCTGTGAATTGGTCGATAGAAAAATACTTGAGAATATCCTTCTCGACGATGGTGTAAGTGACCCGGCCGTTGTAGCCTTGGTCACGGTCGTGGGCGGTCACGGTGAGAGGAGCGGGGTCGTGGGCGTGGGCGGCCAAGACGGGAGCATGTATGGTGGCGGTCTGAAGGACAGTGCCCTGGTAGACCAGACGGTCCCACTCCGGCCACCAGTCGTTCTCGTCTAGCACCGTCACCCCTAGCCATGTACTGCGGGATACCCCGGCCTGACGGAGACAACAGTGATATAATGTGTGGTGGAGGAGGAGTGCTGTAAGACTCCAGTTAACGAAGAACAACATCACAATGGTTAATGGTAAACACCTGTAATATAGAGATGCAGACAAATTGAAATTAAAACAGTATATTTAGCCAGAAGAACACAGATACAGAGTCGATAAAAATAACAATATTAACATGGTTGAGCCAGACGAGAACCTGAGCTCTCTTGTAGGCACCTGATATATACTATACATATATCTCAAGGAAGTATTATGTAACATTTAGTATCATCTGGAATAGTACAATAGCATGGTGGTAATAAGAACATCTCATAATGTTACCACGGTTATCACTTCGATATTTATTTATATTATTTATTTTGTTTACATTTATATTATAAGTACATACATACTTTACAGTGGAGTTGATATACATAAATATGATAAGGGAGGGAAGCAGAACAACATGGGTTGTATTAAGGTGGAACAAGAGGACAGAACTGTCAGTATCATGTCTAGTCGGCAAATATAGTTATTGCAATGGAAACTTCTATATATCTACATGACAATTTCAGATAAAACGGTTTTTGAGGTACAATAAAAACAGGAGAATAAATTAGCTGTTACACAAAATATTAATACTTAAACAATAGATATTTAACCATTTGGGTAAACCTTCGTCTGGCTATCACGTGAAGCTGAGCGTAAGTACTGACACCACTACAACGTTACTTGGTCCTCTGGTCACCTTGCTGGAGCTGTGTAGTCTGATCGAGGCGGATTACTTATAATTATCTCATAGTCCGTTTCTTACCTTTATGGTGTACAGCTAAACCCAGCCACACACACACACACACGCACACACGCACACACACACACACACACACATTTGTACTACTTATGTTACTTGTATATTATTTGTCAATCAAGTGATCCATTCCCTAATTATGTAACTGTATATTTTCTGTCTTCTGACTGCCATGCTCTTTCAATAAACCGTTTATTATTATTATTATTATTATTATTATTATTATTATTATTATTATTATTATTATTATTATTACAGAGAGAGAGAGAGAGAGAGAGAGAGAGAGAGAGAGAGAGAGAGAGAGAGAGAGAGAGAGCAACTGAAACAACACACAAAAGACATACATACATACATACATACATACATACATACATACATACATACATACATACATACAGATAATCCCCTAATGTGTTGCGTTCACGTTGTCTAAAAGATGTGAGAATGACCCTCTGGTCGTGTGCATGTTGTAGGCGTTATATATAAGTGTAAGCAGCATGACCCGTACTGTAAGAGGGTGAGGGATGTAAACTGTATCGTCGACAACTCTACTTGGTATGGGAGGAGGGAGTGAAGACAATCTCCCCCTGTACACCGTGTAGACTGGGCTAGAGGAATCAATTGGCTGTGTATGGGTGTATAAAGGCCACTGGGCTGAGAAGATACACAACATTATGCTTAAACGTTTACCTAATGATATTTTTTTGTTACTGATGATAATGTAGAAGCTTCAAGACGTGGTTTAACTTAGTCATGTGTGGACTATATACTACAGTTTTAAGCATCCTCCAAGAGTTTAATAACCACAAAATAATGGTTTATATTCCCGTTAAATATTGTGTCAGTTATGTCCTACTGCTCACATCAACCATCCACTACCTACATACCGCAGCTGTTTGTGTCTTACTGCATTATGGTAACAAAGGAAAATAAGAGAGACTTTTTTTTATCAACCATTATCCCCTCGCATAAAACATTACTAAACGCTTAACTCCAGGACAGACGGAGAAACTAAATGACAGACTAAGAGAAGGATCCATCTTTTGTCATATACTTGTTTTACATTGCCAGTAAAAATTATGTGAAAAAAGACAAACAGAGAAAAAGAAGAATATTATATACCAGACCAAAAATAAATAATGAAACACGCAAAAGAAAACGTGCCATATATATATACAGTATAATGCATATACAACTTTAAGGAGAACTTTGGTAAACCATATAATACACAAACCCGCGTGAACTATTATGTCAAATTATGATAAAGAAAAGAAAATCTGAAGAAGAATAAGGAATTCATACATTTTCGGAAGAGTTTTACCTAGAAATGATAAGATGGAGAATTAAACAAGGGAATGAAGGTTACATGGGAGTATAACCCTGGAGGTAAAGGAGAATGTAAGAGAGAGTGTAATACATCCTAAGTTGGCATATGGCAGTGAATCATAGTGTTGGAATGAAGCAGAAGACAAATGGGATTAAGTGAATGGAAAGGGTGAGATATATGATGCGTATGGGATTCTCGGCTTGGAGGAGACTGAGGGCGGAGAGTGTGAATTATGAAAATCCTGAAGATAGATGGTATGGAATAATCAAAGCCCTGTGTGGGTATACTAAACTTGACCCGCACTGGCCCCACACCCTCTGCATCATGTCTTCACCCGCCCTACACCCTCTGCATCATGTCTTCACTCGCCCCACACCCTCTGTATCATGTCTTCACTCGCCCCACACCCGCTGTATCATGTCTTTACTCGCCCCACACCCGCCTTCTGCTGTTTCATGTCTTCTTTGCCCCACACCCGCTGTATCATGTCTTTACTAGCCCACACCCGCTGTATCATGTCTTTACTCGCCCCACACCCGCTGTATCATGTCTTTACCAGCCCACACCCGCTGTATCATGTCTTTACTCACCCCACACCCGCTGTATCATGTCTTTACTCACCCCACACCCGCTGTATCATGTCTTTACTCACCCCACACCCGCTGTATCATGTCTTTACTCACCCCACACCCGCTGTATCATGTCTTTACTCACCCCACACCCGCTGTATCATGTCTTTAGTAGCCCACACCCGCTGTATCATGTCTTTACTCGCCCCACACCCATAGAAGCTTTTAATATATGACCCGCACTATGGATATGCGAGAAGAAAGTAAGGGGAGGAGGCGTTGAAGAGTGTGGGATGGATTGATTATTTAGGTGAGGATTCTTAGAATAAGTAGAAGCTGCCAACCGAGCATCAGTGACAATTTTAAGTAACAAGTTGTCCCAAGTAACAGCATACATGGACCGAAAAGCTCGTCTACTGGCTCGCCATTACCCCGTTTATCAGCTGTTCCGTATCTGGTCCCCTGGTGCTGCTCAGCGAACGTGCAGTAGTATGAGGCACAATGAAACTTAGAACAAAGTTTAACCCTGTACGTGAATCACAACCAGAATCGTCCACTTGTAATGTGAGCGTGTTAGCCAAGCTACGTGAGTTTACATGGTGTCAATAATAATTTTAGAAGACAAACTTTTTTTTCTTTTGTTAAGACAAAACGTTTCCAGCGGGACTTTAGTATGAGTGCCGCTCTCGACTGTTTCACATTCTGCTGCTGAATTAAAACTATTTTAGTTCTCTAAATAGAAAAGAAGTATCATGATTCTTTTCTACTTAGAGAACTAAAATAATTTTAATTCAGCAGCATCAGAATGTAAAACCGCATAATCGTACATCTGATGAGTTCACAGAATATAAATAAATCGTTTTTACTGTCTCCTCCACAGTCGTCACGTGAACGTGATAACTCTTAAAGGACTTATGAGCACTGTAGGTCGTTAGTCCCCACAAGAGGTTGAACACAGTCATAATAAACATGAACTGATAAAATCTGTTCATTTGGTGGCCATTCTTATTTCAATACGTTTTCATTAACATAATCAGTATCGTTAAGACTAAGCCCTGGGGCTGACTAGGGTCTGTGTATAACCTAAGGTGAATGCACACATACGGCGTCTAGTTAGTATCATCTTTAACACAGTATACTGGAATTATTGGACAATCTGTGTCATTTTTAATTCATCTTATATTAACTATTTGACTCCATGGATTTAAAATTAAGCAAATAACATGTACGGAAAAAGAACTGTAGCGAACTTTATATACTAAAAATGTTTGGGAAGTTATTATACAGTATGCTGAAGGGGCGTATTATATTTTCAATCATATTTAGTCCGCGTGAAATATAATTTTTTTTTTTAAAACATTGGCATGTATATTCCTTTCCAGAAATAATGTAGAATAGAATAACTGGGATATATATTTTTTTATCTTGAATAACCTTTTCTTTTACGGGGAATAGCCCACCCGGACACAGGTCATCGACCCACAACAGGGCCTGGGGGCGAAAAAATAAGAGTAAAAAAAATATATATATATATATATATATATATATATATATATATATATATATATATATATATATATATATATATATATATATATATATATATATATATATATATATATATATATATATATATATATATAAAGACAGATGGTATGAGTATGGAAGCACAGAAGAAGGTAGAGCATTCCACAGTTTGGTTGTAGTGAAGAAAGAAGGATGTACTTGATGATCCATCCTTCTTAAGCTGCCATACAAAAATCCTCTTCAAATTTTACTCATAATCATTGGGATATTATATTTGTTTAGATTTTTTTCTGGGAATACATTATCATTATGGACACATCAGAGCGATACATACAAAAAATCTTCGACTGTGCCATGCTGTGTGTGGCGGAACCTGATAGGAAGTGTTCGCGTTCATACGGGCCTTTTTAGAAGCAGCATATTCGTTGTTTGAAAATTTCAAAAATAAGTCTGAAATACTGTCTTCTATTAAGGATGTTCAGTTATCAAGAAACACTGTCATGAGGCGCTGTAAATTTATGGCTGAGGATTTGTGTGAACAACTGAATAAAGACATACATGAGAGTGTGTTCTTTTCATTACAATTTGATGAGTCTACTGATGTGTTCGATACATCACAATTATGCATTTTCATGAGAATGGTGTTTAAAGACATGAGTACCAAAGAGGAACTGCCGAAAATTCTACCATTAAAAGGAAAAACTCGGGATGAAGACTTATTTCAGACTTTCAGTGATTTTGTTAATAGTACACAGTTGCCAGTAAGTAAGCTCGTATCTAAAATTACTGATGGGACACCTGCAATGGCTGGCCGAATCAGTGGGTTCATTGCCCTGTGCAGGAGTGATGATAGGTTTCCTAACTTCTCTTTTGGCCTCAAAAGATTGGCCTTTTGATCACAACGAAGTGTGGCTGTTAGATTTAGCTTTTTTAGTTGACATGACGCTATGCTGAATAAACTAAACTTAGATCTGCAAGGGAGAGATAAAACTATAGTTGACATGATTAGTCCTGTGGTTGCTTTTAAGCAGAAACTAAAACTAGTGTCTTCGCAGCTGCAACAACATCAACTACGAAACTTCAGAAATATGATGCCTGAACGAGAAAACCAAGGAAAAGACTGTGACCTGTTTGACAGTGCTCGATATATTGAACACGTGCAAAACCTTGCCTCATATTTTGACAGACGGTTTCAATATATAGCAACAATAGAACCTGTTGCAACATATATGTGTTTTCCATTTGGTAAAATCACAAATGTTGAAGATATTGCATCTAGAATGGCATCAGTATTTAACATGGACATATCTGAAGTCGAAAATGAGCTTCTGAAGCTTAAAAATGATACTCAGATCAAATCCAGGGCAACAGGAGGAAGTTTCTGGAACCTTCTCAGTGAAGAAAAATATCCCAATGTCAGAAAATGTGCCATGCACCTCACAGCACTTTATGGATCAACCTTCCTCTGTGAATCAACATTTTCACACATGAAACACATCAAATCCAGATACCGATCAACAATGTCAGATGAACACCTGGAGGCTTACTTGAGGCTAGCAGTCATCGCCTACAGTCCTAATTACACAAAGCTGGCAGACAACATGCAGTGCTAACCATCTCATTAGTAAATTAAGTTTATGATTTTCTCTTGTTAACAATATATCATAACAATTATTGAAAAATATTATCTCTCTCTCTCTCTCTCTCTCTCTCTCTCTCTCTCTCTCTACGAATCTGCGTATTTTATGGCAATGGGTGAATATTAGGCTGGTAGATCGCGTCAGGGTAACTGTGGAAAAAGTAGATCACATCACACAAAAGGTTGGCCACCCCTGTTCTAGAGTGACCGACAGCCACAGAGAAACGGTGGGCACCGCGGGCAAGACGAGTGATGCGAGCCCACGGCCTTGCCGGCGGTACACAGGATGCCAAATCCACCGAACATTGCCCGTAAAAATTCCTGTAAGAGAGAGAAAGCAAAGCAATATTGCGCCGAAGAGAAAGAGAAGAGAGATTATTAACTAAAGGAGGAGAGTTAATAAGACGAAATGCCTTTGATTCCACCCTATCTAACAGTTGGACAGAAGAAGAGCCACCCCAGATATGAGAGCAGTAATCCCTTATATGCTTGAAGCAACTGCTCAGGAGTGAAGTAGCTACGGCATCTGTACAGCATCCCCAGCTTTCGGGAGGCAGCTTTAGCAATGTTGTGGATGTTTGGCTTTCATGACATATTAGAGGAAATGGTGAGACCTAGCATATCTATTTTAGAATTTGGCAGAATGATTGCGTCCTGAAATGTGATTGGTGGGAGATTATTTTATTTGGAAAGTGTAATTGGCAAATGCTGTAATTTACTTCTATTGAATTTAACCAAGTTTCTACCTCCCCATTCAGAGATGCTGCACAGATCCGCATTGATAGATGAAATGATATCAGCTCTAGAAACAGATCTAGTTTGAGAATTTGGGAGAAGGGAAAAATGTGAAGAGTAGAATCATCAGCGTAAGAATGGATAGAATTAGTCGTAGAGTGAAGTAAATCATTGATAAAAAGAAGGAAGAGAGTAGGTGAAAGAACAGAACCCTGTGAGTCAACATTATTGGTACAGAAAGAGCGAGAGATCGATCCCTCGACAACAACTGCCATGGATCGGTTCTCAAGGAAGCTAGAGATGAGAAAACAAAGTGGGGGAGAGAAACAATAAGAGGGAAGTTTAGGAAGCAAAGACTTGTGCCATACCCTGTCAAATGCTTTGGAGATGTCGAGGGCCACGACAAAAGTTTCCCCATAATCCCTAAGAGAGGATGACCAAAGATGGATGCAGTGGGAGAGCAGATCACCAGTAGATCTCGCCTGGCGAAAGCCATACTGGTGATCCGACAAAAGAGAAAGGCGTTCAAGGTGACGGAGAAAATGAGAGTTTAAGATAGTTTCGAAAATCTTAGAGAGGGATGAAGTTAGGGCAATGGGGCGATAATTAGAGGGATTGGAATGGTCAACCTTCTTCGGGATGGGCTGAACCGAGGCAGGCACCCAAGAGGAAGGAAAAGTTTGGGTCGTGAGGCAAAGGCGAAAGAGGCGAGCAAGCACAGGGACTAGAATTTCAGCACACTCCCTCACTGTATCTTACCAGGTTGGTGGCGGTGACAGTAAGATTGTACCAAGCTGCGGCCTCGTAGTCCAATGGAGCCGCCAAGCTGACCACACCCGAGGCAGGGCTTACCATGAACACGCCCTCGTCGTTGCCACCTGTCAGAGTGTAGTGGAGGGAGGAGGGCGAGGAGGCTGTGAGGCGCGCCACGGCTGACCCCACAACCAACCATTCACCCACCTCGACCACCTGGGACGTATCCTCCCTTTGCCAGGAGGGCGGGGCTTGGGGCGACGATGTGACAATAACCCTGACAGGAACGGAGGCGGCGCGGGCCTGGCTGCCATGGTCCATGGCCCGTACCAGCAGCAGATATTCTGAGGGTTCTGAGTCTATGAGGGGCCTCGTTAGGCTGATCACACCTAAAGACGAATCTACGCTGAAGATGCCACCAGCGTTACCTGCAACAGAAGGAGAGGACGTCATGGGGTGACTGCAACATAATAAACAAGGAGCACTGTCGTGTACTATACTGTAGTAGGACACAACATGAAGCTCTGTGCTGGAACACAACAGGTCACTAATACAGTATATTTGGAATATGAAAACAGATAAACAAAAGGTTGTCACTCTAGATTTTTCTTTTTCTAGAGTCTAGAAAAAGAAAAATCCCCAACCCGGAAGTCGTACTAATTATGTACCATGTCAGCAGAAACATCCTTGAAAACTTATTGTGATGACAACCCAATGTCCTAATGAAACATACAATATCAATCTGGCAGACGTAACACAACATTTGTTCAACACAGAACACAAAGAACACACCTTTCTGTTGAAATACAACTCATTAATACTACTGATGCACCCTAACATGCCAGGTGATGATAGTAAAACAAGACAGAACATTGCGAGAAACACAGCAACATGTCCTCACAGCACCATGGTAAATTCTCGTAGAAGCACCACTACACCTTGGCAGCTAACACGAAACAACACAATTTAACAAAACAAAAGAAAAATCAGTATGATCCCAACACAACTCACATACCACACACTCTACACATGATAATGATAGATCAAAGAACACAGTCATTAACTTGCCAGGGAAAAAAAATAAACACAACAGCGATTTAATGGAAACACAACGCATCTCAAAGTACTGCTAGATCAATGACCTTCACGTTGTCAGACTCAACACAATGACCCCCAAGAGGCACTACATATCACCTTTAACATGTTGGGAAGAGTTTTCATACCCAAAATACACATTTCTGTCTACAAAATAACCGAAGAAATATATTCTTTATTCCGATACCTTGAAATCAAACATCGTCTTAAAACCGTTTGGAATCTTAGAATCTTAGAGAGAAAAATAAAGAAACGAGAAGAGAATCAGAAACTAATAATAATAATAATAATAATAATAATAATAATAATAATAATAATAATAATAATAATAATAATAATAATAATAATAATAATAATAATAATAATAATAATTGTCCAAACCTGATAATTTATGTATAAGAAAACTAAGAAAGAGAGACTGAGAGAATATTATATTTATAAGAGAGGAAACAAGAGGAAAGAGCTGGAGATAATGAGATAATGAGGACACACTCTTAAAACTTCCTCACTTCATGTTCGGGAGAGTGAGGAAGGTGAGGAGTGTGGTGGGTGAGGAAGGTGAGGAGTGTGGTGGGTGAGGAAGATGAGGAGTGTGGTGGGTGAGGAAGGTGAGGAGTGTGGTGGGTGAGGAAGGTGAGGAGTGTGGTGGGTGAGGAAGGTGAGGAGTGTGGTGGGTGAGGAAGGTGAGGAATGTGGGGTGAGGAAGGTGAGGGAATGTGGTGGGTGAGGAAGGAGGAGTGTGGTGGGGTGAGGAAGGTGAGGAGGTGGTGGGTGAGGAAGGTGAGGAGGTGGTGGGTGAGGAAGGTGAGGAGGTGGTGGGTGAGGAAGATGAGGAATGTGGTGGGTGAGGAAGGTGAGGAGGTGGTGGGTGAGGAAGATGACGAGTGTGGTGGGTGAGGAAGGTGAGGAGAGGGTGGGTGAGGAAGGTGACGAGTGTGGTGGGTGAGGAAGATGAGGAATGTGGTGGGTGAGGAAGATGAGGGAATGGTGGGTGAGGAAGGTGAGGAGTGTGGTGGGTGAGGAAGATGACGAGTGTGGTGGTGAGGAAGGTGAGGAGAGTGGTGGGTGAGGAAGGTGACGAGTGTGGTGGGTGAGGAAGATGAGGAATGTGGTGGGTGAGGAAAGGTGAGGAAGGTAAGGAAGGTGAGGAGGTGGTGGGTGAGGAAGGTGAGGAATGTGGTGGGGTGAGGAAGGTGAGGAATGTGGTGGGTGAGGAAGGTGAGAAGGTGGTGGGTATGTGGTGGGTGAGGAAGGTGAGGAATGTGGTGGGTGAGGAAGGTGACGAGTGTGGTGGGGTGGGAGGAAGGTGTGGTGGGTGAGGAAGGTGAGGAATGTGGTGGGTGAGGAAGATGACGAGTGTGGTGGGTGAGGAAGGTGAGGAATGTGGTGGGTGAGGAAGGTGAGGAATGTGGTGGGTGGAGGAAGGAGGAAGTGTGGTGGGGTGAGGTGAGGAAGGTGAGGGAGTGTGGTGGTGAGGAAGGTGACGAGTGTGGTGGGTGAGGAAGATGAGGAGGTGGTGGGTGAGGAAGGTGAGGAGGTGGTGGGTGAGGAAGATGAGGAGTGTGTGGTGGGTGAGGAAGGTGAGGAGTGTGGTGGGTGAGGAAGATGACGAGTGGTGGGTGAGGAAGATGACGAGTGTGGTGGGTGAGGAAGGTGAGGAGTGGTGGTGAGGAAGGTGAGGAAGGTGGGGATGTGGTGGGTGAGGAAGATGAGGAGTGTGGTGGGTGAGGAAGGAGGAGTGTGGTGGGTGAGGAAAGTGAGGAGTGTGGGTGGGGTGAGGAAGTGAGGAGTGTGGTGGGTGAGGAAGGTGGGAGTGTGGTGGGTGAGGAAGATGACGAGTGTGGTGGGTGAGGAAGGTGAGGAGGTGGTGGGTGAGGAAGATGAATGTGGTGGGTGAGGAAGGTGAGAGGTGGTGGGTGAGGAAGGTGAGGAGTGTGGTGGGTGAGGAAGGTGAGGAGTGTGGTGGGTGAGGAAGGTGAGGAATGTGGTGGGTGAGGAAGGTGACGAGTGTGGTGGGTGAGGAAGGTGAGGAGTGTGGTGGGTGAGGAAGGTGAGGAGTGGTGGGTTAGGAAGGTGAGGAGGTGATGGCGACTCACAATAGACGGTAACAATCACCATCAACCATCACCACCACACAAAATCACCACCTCATACCATCACCACCACACCCCATCACCACTACCCACCACCATCCACCATCACCATCACCACTACGTACAATCACCACCACCAAACATCACCACCACACACCATCACCACCACACACCATAACCACCATACACCATAACCACCAGACACCATCACAACCACACACCATCTCCACTACCTGCCACCAACCATCACCACCACCCACCATCACCACCATCAACCATCACCACCACACACAATCACCACCACACACCATCACCACCAAACCACCATCACACACAAATCACTACCACTACCACCACACACCATCACTTCCACCACCACACACCATCACCATCACACACAATCACCACATCACACCATCACCACCACACATCATCAACATCACACACCACCACCACCACACATCATCACCACTACACACTATCACCACTACATGCCATCACCACCACACACCATCACCACCACACACCACCACCACCACTCACCATCACCACTACATGTCATCACCACCACACAACATCACCACCACACACCATCACTACCACCACCACCACACACCATCACCACCACACATCATCCCCACTACACACCATCACCACTACATGCTATCACCATCGCACACACCACCACCACTCACCATCAGCACCACACACCATCACTACCACCACCACACACCATAAGCACCACACACCATCACCACCACAAACCATCAACACACACACAATCAACACCACACACCATCACCACCACACATGATCACCACCACACACCATCACCATCACACCATCACCACCACACATCATCAACATCACACACCACCACCACCACACATCATCACCACTACACACCATCACCACTACATGCCATCACCACCATCCTCAATCACCACCACACACCATCACCATCACACCCATCACCACCACACACCACCACCACCACACGTCATCACCACTACACACCATCACCACTACATGTCATCACCACCGCACACCATCACTACCACCACCACACATCATCACCACCACACACCATCACCACCACACATCATCAACACTACACACCATCACCACACATCATCACCACCACACGTCATCACCACCACACACCATCACTACACACACCACTACCACCACCACACACCATCACTACCACACACCATCACACCACCACCACACACCATCACTACCACCACAACGCACCATCACCACCACACACCATCATTACCACCACCACACATCATCACCACCACACATCATCACCACCACACACCACCACGACCACACACCATCACTACCTCACACCATCACTACCACACACCATCACTACCACCACCACACACCATCACTACCAACACCACACACCATCACTACCAACACCACACACCATCACTACCACACACCATCACCACCACACACCATCAACACCACACACCATCAACAGCACACACCATAAACACCACACACGATCACCACCACACACCATCACCACCACTCCATCACCACCACACCATCACCACCACACACCATCACCACCACACACCATTGTATTAGCCCCTGTCTCATGGCAATAACAATTATATAAATTGAGTTAATACATTTAGTTTATATAATACAATCACCCCACGGTAATTTTCCATAAGCTGTGAGTTGCCATGTGCTGTTCATGTGAGGGGAAAGTCCTCTATCAGTAGGCCGACCTTGAGAATGGAGAGTCAGCCTGGCCTCCCCTCAGAGCACCAGTCTTCACTTGAGCCTTACGCGAATCGTCGGACGGGTGGCTTAACTCAGTCAAGCTGAGCCCTGTCCTTAACTAACACTCACAGCTTACAGTGTTAATTACGGTGCTTTAACTATAGACTGTGACACTTTTAGTTTATCAATAAATGGAGAGAAAGACCATTTGGGTTTGTAACTTAACCCCTTAATTTATTTATATATAAACCAAGTTAAAAGGGAACTGTACCCAAAGCTTATATATAAAGGTGGCAGCCCACTAACACCACCACTATGATTACAACTACCACCGCTATTACCACTACTATCATTACAACTACCACCATTAACATATACAACACCATCAACAAAACCACTAATTAAACATCATGTTCCTCTTTTACCATTACTACCACCACATTTCACTAACATCATCATAATTTCTCTATCACTAAAATCAACAGCATCACACTTATCACCACCAATTCAGTCTACACCAAAACATGTCACTCAGCATTACCGTAGTCTTACTATGACACTCATTCCTTTTTTTACCAAATATATATATTGTCATCAATCTACCTAAGCCTTACAGCCACGGATCACTTTCTACCACAATTCCACAGCAACAACAACACAAAATTCTACTTTGTAAATATTCGACTGTGTCCTCCCTCCCGGTAAAGCCTCACTAACTGGGATGAAAATAGCGGGAGAGAAATAGAACAGTTTTAACAGTATGCAGCGATGGTGGTATAAACAAAGCGAGACAAAGAGCATCATGAATGAAAGAACAGAACAAATAAAAGTATGAATGTGTGTGTGTGTGTGTGTGTGTGTGTGTGTGTGTGTGTGTGTGTGTGTGTGTGTGATTGTTGAGAACACTGGAACTTAAGTAGAAGTAAAATAGATAATAATGACAATAAAAAAAGTTAATGAAAGACCAACAGAGGTAAAAAGAGCCATGAATGTGAGCTGTGAAGAAAGATATTAAATAAAATGACTGTAAACAGAGAGAGGTGGGGGAATGAAGTAAGTGGATTACATTAAAATTACGGGGCGATGATATTCTAACGGGTCTGAGAAGGGAGAACACATTACCTCAGCTGAGAGAGAAGAGGGATAGAAAAAGATGGCGGAGAGAGATTAGTAGAAGCACAGAAGAAGAGGAAACAAATGAAGAGTGTGGAGCGAAGCGGAGATGTTGTCTAAACCAAGAGAAAGGAAACGGTGTTAGGAGGAGGAAGAAACCGAGGGAGGACAGAGAGACCGAGGGAGGGCAGGGAGACCGAGGGAGGGCAGGGAGACTGGGAGGAAGGAAGTTACAAATGTTATTCAACCACCCAAAGGACGAAAAGTTCCAAACTAAGAGCTCAGAGTAATATACAGTTAAGAACACTATATACATTTATGTGAAGGTTATGTTCATTTAAACGATGGTGGGTAAATAGTGTTAGGTTAACTTGGCTTGCCTAGAGTTGAAGTTTGTATGGAAGAAAATTGTGCCTTGTATTAAAATTCCTGAGTAAGTATTCCTGTATAATGAACAACTTGTTTCACGTGATGTGGGGAAGAGAGGAGGAGGCTGATCACTTCCCTTCCACCATGATCATGGAGGGAAGGAGACAGTCACACTTACCCTCGTCGATGGAGTAGGAGAGTCTGCCGTTGTCGCCCTTATCGTGGTCGAGTGCCAACACGCGCGTGACCGCAGTTCCCGCGGCCGATCCAGTGCTCACCTGCCCGACACACACACACACAAGCATTACTTATATATATATATACTATAATAATAGCTTACAACTCTTGTTAATGATAACTGAAAATAAAAACTCATCCTGAGGTCAGAAATAAATTAATGAGATATTATAAATAAAACGCAAAAACATTTATAATAACACACTTAGATTTTTTTTCCCATCGGGGCATTTCAGTGGTTTTCATCTCATAATATACAACAGTTTTCCAGCAACCGATAACAACAGCCATCATCTACACTACTGTGATGACACCTATAATGGTGTCTGTAAATATTTCACTGGCGGCGACGTGTGTACTGGACCTGGCCAGCTGAGCACAGAGGACAACAATATACTGTAGTTCACTCGGGTTGATATTCACAAGAGCGTCATGATCTATCGCTCAGGTGCCATGAGAGAGACCACTGTTAACCAGCTCTATTGGTTCAAGAATTTGTAAAGGCCTGGACGGATTCTTTTTTTCCACTGTGTTCATATCTCGCGCAGTGTGTGTGTATAAAGTTAATTGGTAGTTCCTTACTCACGTATATAAGGTGAACAACCTGTGTTAATAATATACCTGCTATATATATATATATATATATGTGTGTGTGTGTGTGTGTGTGTGTGTGTGTGTGTGTGTGTGTGTATGTGTCAATGAGTGTAATATATTCCCAGTGAAAATTAACACAAATGGCATTTCTGTTCAAACTTAGTGAACTCTCGCCACAAATGTAATTGAACGTTATGACCAGCGGCATCTGGTTTATACTCGTATTACAGACACACCACATTACCACACTTCTGGAGTTGAGAATCGGGTAAATACGATTAATGTGTTGACGAATGATCAATAGTGTGGGAGTTAGTAGTCAGTCACCACTAACAAGATTCTGACCAACACCATAAATACAGTATTCATAAACAAAGGCAATAAATACAAATATATAATTTTGTAACCTAAAATCCTTATAAAATTAATGAAAATACAAAACTATTTTTTCAGATAATTTTATGGGTCTACAGTATAACAAACTACAGTGTACCAACTTTCCTATTAGGTAATCCGTATATAATGGAACAGCTGTTAGAAATACTGTACACGTTAATGTGTTGATCCGCCCTTGACCCCCCAAATGTTCTCACATCGGCTAAATCAGTAAAATAAAAACACATGGGTTATAGGGTAATGAACACGGGTACGAGACAGTCAAATATCAAATTTAATGACGCTGTATTGGAGGAATTACAATGGGCTGTTAACTGTTTGCAAAAAGAATGAAGAAAAAATATAGAAAAGAAAAAAATGTGGGAAATACACTATATTTTTTCTTATGGATTAGAAATAAAAAAATAATTGTATACCAGGAAAAAACAGCTTAAAGGTAAGGGAAATATATTGACTAAAATAAATCTAGGAATATTTTAACTTCCAGAATATAGAGAGTGGTTGATAATTATCGGTTATTAGACAGTTCGGGTTAGATTAGTTATATTTTCAAGCCTCTAAAATTATTAACATAAGTTCACTACAAATTCGACTGAAATGGTTAAATTGTCTACTCGCTATTGTTGTTCCTTTTCCTTAGTATGTCCTCATATTCAGGATTCCAGAGAGTTTATAAGATAAATGGAAGTTTCTCTGTGTCTGTAAATGTCTCTTCTGTTAAGCACTAGTTCTCCTTCTCGACTACAGATTTTATTGGAAACTTCACTGTCATCAGATTATGAAAACGATTTTTTTATATATATTAAGGCTGGAGCCAATTAAATTAGAAATAACGTAATTTATTATTCTCCAGTATGAATAAAACACAGGCTGACCTGGCCCATAGTCCACCCCCACACCTCTTCTATACTAATAGCTGATTGGTTCATAGAAAATTCAACCTAAATGTGTTCACAATTGGTAAGCAGACCTGTTAATATCTGAAATAATGTTAAATAAATGAATTATCAAAATGCAAATAATTTCAAGGCATTAACACTTCAGAGAGAATGTTAGAAAAATTTTAATATCTATTATAAAAGGTCAATATAAATACGCGCTTATATACGCGCAGTCCGAGGGATGGGAGGGGGGGGGGGACGCTCAGGAGAACCAATCAGCTATTTGTAGCTATAGATGAGGGGCGTGGCTCACGAGCCAGCTTAGCTGGAAATACTATAACGCCATTATTACTGTCGGCATCGGTTGGCCTCACAATATTATCATTTTGAGTCCGAACGCCAGTGCTTAGCCTAGACGCCAGCAAGAGTTTGGAAATGTTTACAGACAGATGTAGTGTTCGGACGTAGGAAGGGGTGGGTGTCCGTGTGTACAGAGGTAAACTTTCAGATTTTTTTTTATTTTTATTGATAAGTCTTTTGAGGAATGAAAGATCTGTGTTTCAGGATAACATGTCCATCCTTGTTGTTAATACCTACAATTTCACCTCTACAAAGACAACTTCAAAAGAACTTTTGTTTGGTCTAATATTCATGCCTCGCTGTCGTATCAAACGATCGTTTAAGTAAAAAAGATAAAAAAAAATGCATAAATCGTACGTGAAACGATATTTTCCAACAATTCCTCGTTCTAATTTTGTAAAATGGAAAGCACACACGAAATTTGTGGTGAAAACCAGTGACAGGTTTACGAGTCTGGTAACACGTTTTTTTATTAGAATCTGTGGCCACAGCCGTCAAGTGTTATTAATAACATTTCATCAAGTTTTCTATATACTCTACAATTAATTTAAATAACTGTTCTAATTTGATTTATTCATTGGCTATTTCCAGTTGAATTTTCAATATTAATAGTGAACTGTTCAGGTCTATATAAGGCTTCATGAGCATTGATTACTTACCTTATAAACACAAGGATTTATTGGAAGACGCTGTTATAGGCGACGTCTTAGATAACCATAAAACACACATTTTGACGGTGTTATAAAATACTATTGCCCTGATGGTATTAAAACACTCTCACTGGTGGTATTAAAACACTCTCTGGTGGTATTAAAACACTCTCTCACTGATGGTATTAAAACACTCTCTCTGGTGGTATTAAAACACTCTCTCTGGTGGTATTAAAACACTCTCTGGTGGTATTAAAACACTCTCTCACTGATGGTATTAAAACACTCTCTCTGGTGGTATTAAAACACTCTCACTGATGGTATTAAAACACTCTCTCTCTGGTGGTATTAAAACACTCTCTCTGGTGGTATTAAAACACTCTCTCTGGTAATATTAAAACACACTCTCTGGTGGTATTAAAACACTCTCACTGATGGTATTAAAACACTCTCTCTGGTGGTATTAAAACACTCTCACTGATGGTATTAAAACACTCTCACTGATGGTATTAAAACACTCTCACTGATGGTATTAAAACACTCTCTGGTGGTATTAAAACACTCTCTCTCTGGTGGTATTAAAACACTCTATCTGTTGGTATTAAAACACTCTATCTGTTGGTATTAAAACACTCTTTCTGTTGGTATTAAAACTCTCTCTGGTGGTATTAAAACACACTCACTGATGGTATTAAAACACTCTCTCTGGTGGTATTAAAACACTCTCTCTGGTGGTATTAAAACACTCTCTCTGGTGGTATTAAAACACTCTTTCTGTTGGTATTAAAACTCTCTCTGGTGGTATTAAAACACACTCACTGATGGTATTAAAACACTCTCTCTGGTATAAAACACTCTCTCTGGTGGTATTAAACACTCTCCTGGTATTAAAACACTCTATCTGTTAGTATTAAAACACTCTCACTGGTGGTTAAAACTCTCTCTGTTGGTATTAAACACTCTCTTGGTTGGTATTAAACACTCTCGGTATAAAACACTCTCTGTGGTATTAAACACTTATCTGTTGGTATTAAACACTTCTGTTGGTATTAAAACACTCTCTGGTGGTATTAAAACACTCTCTCTCTGGTGGTATTAAAACACTCTATCTGTTGGTATTAAAACACTCTATCTGTTGGTATTAAAACACTCTTTCTGTTGGTATTAAAACTCTCTCTGGTGGTATTAAAACACACTCACTGATGGTATTAAAACACTCTCTCTGGTGGTATTAAAACACTCTCTCTGGTAGTATTAAAACACTCTCTCTGGTAGTGATAAAACACTCTATCTGTTGGTATTAAAACACTCTATCTGTTGGTATTAAAACACTCTATCTGATGGTATTAAAACACTCTATCTGTTGGATTTAAAACACTCTTTCTGATGGTATTAAAACACTCTCTGGTGGTATTAAAACACTCTCTCTGGTGGTATTAAAACACTCTCTCTGATGGTATTAAAACACTCTATCTGTTGGTATTAAAACACTCTATCTGTTGGTATTAAAACACTCTATCTGTTGGTATTAAAACACTCTATCTGATGGTATTAAAACACTCTATCTGTTGGATTTAAAACACTCTTTCTGATGGTATTAAAACACTCTCTGGTGGTATTAAAACACTCTCTCTGGTGGTATTAAAACACTCTCTCTGATGGTATTAAAACACTCTATCTGTTGGTATTAAAACACTCTATCTGATGGTATTAAAACACTCTATCTGTTGGTATTAAAACAATCTATCTGATGGTATTAAAACACTCTATCTGTTGGTATTAAAACACTCTATCTGTTGGTATTAAAACACTCTATCTGTTGGATTTAAAACACTCTTTCTGATGGTATTAAAACACTCTCTGGTGGTATTAAAACACTCTCTCTGGTGGTATTAAAACACTCTCTCTGGTGGTATTAAAACACTCTATCTGTTGGTATTAAAACACTCTATCTGTTGGTATTAAAACACTCTATCTGTTGGTATTAAAACACTCTATCTGATGGTATTAAAACACTCTATCTGTTGGACAAAACACTTTCATGGCCAAAACACTCTCTGTGGTATTAAAACACTCTCTGGTGGTATTAAAACACTCTCTCTGGTGGTATTAAACACTCTACCTAAAACACCTTATCTGTTGGTATTAAAACACTCTATC